TGCATGTGTTCGTTTTGATCATTTGAACTGTTTATAATTTATAATCATTTTGATTATCTTCTTAGTACGTCCAGACTTGCTAACAGAATGCAAAACACGTGTTTCTTCTTTCAATGGATGTAGTACTCACTTAAGGATGGTATCAATTTAAGTTGGGGTTGCAGTAATAATTTTCAAGCTTAAAAGCTTCTAAATCCTAAACGAATTTAACCCAGGGGAGGCCATTCCCTATCCTTTTTCTTGCTTCTTCCTTTCTTTTTAATGTGTTTAAATTTCTCTATCCTTTTGTTTCCTAGACAGAGTACATTTCCATTTTAATATAGTAACTACACGTGTTATAGATTAAAATTATACAAAGCTTCAGCGTGGCTTCCTAATACAAATTAATTGAAGAGTCATTTCCGAAGCTTAATCTACAACAGCAACAAGAATTCCCGCATTTCTTTAGCGTCGTAAGTCTATATTCCAATTTCATATGCCAAAACCGCACGTTTGTGACTCCACTATAACAATTCATACCAATATTAACCTAAGACGTCAAAATCTAAAGATATTACATTCTCCAAGAAAGTAGGAAACTTGGAACTAAATCTATTGGAGCATGCTTTTGGTTGTAGGGATATGGAGCAATCTTATGTTTTCACACTTCTGCCTGTCTTGGAGGGAATTCAGAAAGTTCGGGGAGCAAGTGTTTCATCCGGCCTGACTTTCCTAAAATCGTTGTCTTTGTACAAGGTTGATGTGTGTGAAAATGTATTCGATTCTTCTTGAACACGTGTGTGTTTCTTGAAAGGCTGGTTGTTCATCACTCTTACTCCCTCCGTCCCATAATTATTGTCCACTTTGCTCAAAAAATTTTGTCCCAAAATTATTGTCTAATTTGACTTTTTATGAATCAAGTTACACATTTGTCCTTAATAAAAAATATTATCCATAAAATCTTTATGGTTAAAAAATTACTTATGTAGGGGTACATCCGGTTATTCAAGGTAAAATATAATTAAGTTTGACTAAAAATAAAATCTTTCATTTTAGTAAAACTAGACAATAATTATGGGACGGAGGGAATATTATATTCACGCCTAGATAATTTCGGGGCCATCTCTTGCATAGCGAAACCTGGAAATGACCTCCTCGCCCATGGAGTTCCTCATTGTGTGCAATGTTAAAAAGCTTGTCTCACTTAAGGTTAGTCAGTTACACAAGCTGGTGCTGAAGGATGTCCCGTCCCTGGTTGATGTTTAATTGCGTTCCCGGATGTGGTTACCAGAATGTCTTAAAGAGATTGGCCTCTCGGCTTTCCTGCTGCCTGTCAAAACTCAAGGTTCTTACCTTGATTAAACCATTTCATAATCGTTTGAGAAAGGTTAGAATTGGAGATTTTCCTTTTCCTCGAGGTTCACTGCACGATTACTTCTAAGTTTCAACTCTTTTTCCTTTTCTTGCTTTCTCTTGTTATTTTTTCTGGTATCTTTTCACTTGACCTCTTTTGGCCCAGATAAAGCTTACTGAAGAACTTCCTCAACTACCGGAACTGAAGGAATTAACTACTCCCTCCGTCCCATAATTATTGTCTACTTTGTCCAAAAAATTTTGTCCCAAAATTATTGTCCAATTTGACTTTTTATTGATCAAGTTACACATTTATCCTTAGTAAAAAACATTATTCATAAAATCTTAGTGGTTAAACAATTACTCTATATAGGGGTATATCCGGTTGTTTACGGTAAAATATAGTTAAGTTTGACAAAAAATAAAATTCTTCAATTTAGTAAAACTGGACAATAATTATGGGACGGAGGGAGTATAATAGTTCTAGCATCAGAAGATGACAGCCGCATCTGGGATGGACAACCTCCTTAATTAGGGCATCACAAAAATTGGAGAAGTTTGTGATGAAGGTAGTAAAGTATTTATGCTACCTCCGTGCTTAACTGTGTTATTAACATATATTGTTTAATGAAAATGTATCTTTTGGTGGAGCATGATAGTAATATATGATCTAGATACCATGTATGGTGGTCAACCCTTAATTGTTGGTGTTGTTGCTGTTTGGATATTTAATGATGTTGGGCTATCTGTTGCAATGGTGCTGGATACTACAAGTGAATTGGAGTTCGTCAAGTACTTCCTAGACAATGCCACGGCACTTAGAAAAAATCCTCATCGATCCTCGTTCTCAGGCAATGTATGAATTACCGTGGCTCTTCCGGAAGTCTGAATCAACAATTGCAAAAGAAGAAGACTAAAATGTCCAAATGGTCCCTTATATTTGGGCATACTTGAATTTACGTGTCTAACATTAACATTTTAATATCGTAGTCCCAAACACTATGTTTTTACACTATTTTGGTCCCATTTCACTGTTTCTGGCCGTTTACATGCCGGAATCAGGGGTATTTTTGTCTTTTAATTTAATTTAAATTTTTGTTAAAATTTAAATCATTAAGAATATTTTAAAATTCAAATTTCATTATTTAATTGTTAAAATATTATTTATTTATTAAAAATATTATTATACAATTTTAAAATTTATCATTATTTTCAAAATTACTTTTTTCATTTACTATTTACTTTAAGTACACAATAAATGGTAATTATGTTACACTTTTAACTTTGGTCCCTCTGTAACTTAAAAAATTTACTAAGTTACAGTAAATAATTCAAAATTTATTTTTTAAAAAAAAAAAGGAAAAGCAAAACTAAGATTCTCTTTACTCTGACCGCTACAACAAACCCTAAATGATAATTATGTTACACTTTTAACCTTAGGCCCATTGTAACTTAAAAAATTTACCGAGTTACAGTAAATAATTCAAAATTAAATTTTTTTTAAAAAAAAAAGCAAAACCAAGATTTTTTTTACTTTGACCGCTACAGTATACCCTAAATGGTAATTATAATACACTTTTAACCTTGGACTCACTATGACTTAAAAAATTTACCGAGTTACAGTAAATAATTAAAAATTCAAATTTTTTTTTTAAAAAAGAAAAAGCAAAACCAAGATTTTTTTTACTCTAACTACTATAATAAACCCTAAATGGTAATTATATTGCACTTTTAACCTTAGACCCACTGTAACTTAAAAATTTTTTCGAGTTAGAGTAAATAATTCAAAATTTAATTTTTTTTCCAATAAAAAAGAGAAAATCAAGATTTTTTTTACTCTGACCGCTACGTTGCTTTTTTAACCTTGGACCCACTATAACTTAAAATTACCGAGTTACAGTAAATAATTTAAAATTTAATTTTTTTTTAAAAAAAAAGAGAAAAGCAAAACAAAGTAATTGGCCGCTACAGTAAACCCTTATGTTGCACTTTTAACCTTGGACCCAATGTAACTTAAAAAATTTGCCGAGTTACAGTAAATAATTCAAAATTCAAGTGTAATGGTCAAAGTAAAAAAAAAAAAAATCTTGGTTTTGTTTTTATCTTTTTTTTTAAAAAAAATTGAATTTTGAATTATGTACTGTAACTCGGTAAATTTTTTAAGTTATAGTAGGTCCAAGTTTAAAAGTGCAACATAGTTACCATTTAGGGTTTACTATAGTGGTTAGAGTAAAAAAAATAGTTTTGCTTTTTTTTTTTTAAAGAAATTGAATTTTGAATTATTTACTGTAATTCGATAAATTTTTTAAATTACAATGGGTTCAAGGTTAAAAGTGTAACATAATTACTATTTATTTTGACCTAAAGTAAATGATAAATGAAAAAATTAATTTTGAAAATAATGTAAATTTTAAAATTTTATAATAATATTTTTAATTAATAAATAATATTTTAATAATTAAATAAAGAAATGAATTTTAAAATTTTTTAATGATTTAAATTTTAATAAAAATTCAAAATAAATTAAAAGACAAAAATACCCCTGATTCCAGCATGTCAACTGCCGGAAACAGTGAAATGGAACCGAAAAAATTTGAAAACATAATGTTTGGGATTACGATATTGAAATGTTAATGTTAGGGACGTAAATTCAAGTAGGCCCAAATGTAAGAGATCATTTGGACATTTTTGCTAAGGAACAACTCGAGGGATTAGTACCATTGCAGATTGAGATTTGACGATATTGTAGCATAGTTCATTTTTGCTGCTAAAGACTAAGGAATCGATGGGGCATATTCTGCACATTTGGTCCTGAATTGCAGATTGGATTAAGAAACGTGCCACATATCTTTAGCCGACCCGAAAAAGCGGGTTAAAGACTACATTGTTATCTCGGATGTAGTTTCTGTTTGTAAATGGTAAGACTCAACGTGTAATCATCTCTATTGCCACTCTTTCTCTCAACTCAATGAGAGTGAATATGCGAACAGAATCAGAATGGTTTGTGTGTTGCGTCTCAAATTGCACCAAAAGCTACTGAAATTTAAGTTTGCCCTATTTGATTTGCGATCATTCAGTGTTCCAGTCAAACAGAATAATTACAAAGAACAAGAAGAAAACAAAACAAGTAAAACTAAAAATGAGAAGGAGAATTCCAATCTTCTTGTGAAAAGCTCACTTTAGAAATTTCTCTGGTATATTCCCAAATTGGTTGGGTTCTTGGAGTCACTTGTACACAACCTTACCCTTGTAATTATACAAACAAGTTGTTTCCATTGCGACCCAAAGTACATTGCATTATTTTCGATATCTTTATTTCCAGGAGCTTCAAAAAAATAGAATAAGTACTTTGATTAACAAATTTTTCTGTGTCAGATCAGGCATAACAATTAGATAAATGAAGCTCAATACATGTGATTTGAGATGCACAAATGCACAATTATGAACCCAAGCCTTTTACTGGCCGCATTAGGCATCTTTATTGTAATATGATACTGCAATTTCTGATGATGTTTTTGCTGGTTCAATGTGTCGATTGAAAAGGTGACAATACAACACTCATCGTGGCTGAAAATGGGACATCATCGTAATTTCGCATGGAACAAAATAAACTTGCTTTTTTCGCTTACGATGCATCGGCATTGCATTTGTTTAACAACAGTTGCTTGTTATTCAGAATCAGGTTTCCAACAAGAAAGAGCATAGATAACTCTTCCTTTCCAGCCTTGTAACATCCAGTTGCAATCTTCATCCACCAAAAAATCCTTGTGGTACTGCAACTTAACTTTAGCCCTAACTTCTCTCACAATATCTTGGTTCAATGGCAGCTGTTTAAAACCAGCCTTTAAAATCCTCACTTGCCATTGCTTATAAGTCTCCGGCCGGTCAAATCTTTCCTTGCCTTCACAAGCTATGACATTCATACAATCCCTCCCAAAAATTTCCCTCTCAAACACCATTCTGTCTTGATCATGGCGTGGCAAGGTCTTGTCGAACATATCAAACAAAGAAGAGAAATGATGCATTGCCTCCTTAAAGCGAGTCACGAAAAAAGGGACATTATACGTTCCATTCAGAACCCCATGAACAAAAAGGTCCGGTTTTATTTTCCTGATCAAGCCAAGAACATCCGTTCTTGCGCTGCTCGATTCTGCAGTCTCATCGGGTACATTTCGCATCCTATACAAGCAATTAACTATGATTGTTTCGCTTCTATCAAGCTTCAGATCTTCCAGGGTGATGGTTTCCCATTCCTTTACGGCAATCGTGTGATACTCAAATGGAACATTAAATCTCTCGCAAAAATAAGAGAGCCTCTGTCCAGTCTCCTCGATTCTTTCAGCCGGGCGGAATCCTGTTTGAGGAAGGTCTATCCCTGTAATGCGAAGCTTTGGGGGTCCACCTGGCCTCAACGATATGCCCTGGATCAAGCAGGGCCATTGGAAACCATACAGAATGCCGAAATCTATAATGTGAATCGTATTCACTCCTCTGGTTAATCTCCCAATCGACTTGTCAGCGAACAAGTTTGACATTTTCCGAAAAGGGCATGCCAAGATGTGCGACTGATAAGCTTTCAGTATATCTTTAGCCGACATTTTCCTCCTTCGGGCAGCTGTGTATATGGTTGCTCCTGCCCCAGAAACGCGTGCTTCAAGGGCATCGGCGAAATAATGAGCCATTCTTTCAGTGGCATCACCAGAAGGAGATGAATGCTGCCTGATTTTAACCAGCAATTCCTGAGAAGTCCTGTTATCAAAATTCGCCACAGCTTGTGCACATTGAGTTAAAAGAGAGTTTAAATCAACTACTTCCCTTATCATATTAGGCCTCTGATTAGCTTTCTTCGGCCGCCCTCCTTTTGGCTCTTCAGGTAATCCTAATTTTTTGTGATCCCATTTGAGGCTTTCGGGCGTTATCTTGCAGTAAAAAGAGAGTGATGGTGGCTCTTCATCATAAAATCCCGGATTCATCTTAGGGCAAAGCAGTGCCTTGTCATACATTGTTATCTCAGTTACTTCATTATCCAGGATTGATAATTCATCAGTATAACTTGCAAATTGCTTCTTCCTCCTCCCTTCCGAATTCTCCTCAGGTTCTTCCTGATCATGGTTTCTCTTTCCTCTTGATCCTTTCCGATTCGCACACACCTCATTCAAGTCAGCACCTTCATGTTCAAGTTAATTCATGGAGACTATTAGTTACTGGAAATTAATTCAACCTGGAAAAGCCTAATATACCAATCCATCACACAAAATTCCCAGTTCAGTTGTACCTTATAAGTTTGTAAACATTTCAGAACTGCTCTCAAGCATTTAAAGACATAACATGAATGCAATCTATATCAAATAGTTACTGAATGTTGAGCATTTCACTTCACCAGAATGATTCAAGAACCTTCACAGGAACGTACCTAAAAGGGCATCTTGGAAAGATTTTTCAGCAGCTTGGAGAGCAGAGATGTCCTGATACATACAAGCCCTCTGATCCAAGTCCTCCATGAGGATTTGATTCAGATACTTGAGCACCCCATCAAAATGATCAGCTGGCAGTGAACTAGATGCTGACTCATTACTCCAAGGAACAGAGATGTCAGAGAACCCATTTTGCTCCATTACTAATTTGCTATTGAACTCCAGCTGCATATGCATTCTACCAACAATTTTCAGTATTTTCTCCCCAGAAAGATTGAATTTTTCTTAACGGGCTCCGTAAAGATTGCAACTTTACTACTGATTCTCATTCGTTGAAGGGTTCAAAATCAAACATCCAAAATAAATAAATAAATTGTAGTTTCAGGATTTTTAAAGGTTTTTGGGCTGAACCCGGAATGAATGCACCATTAAAAAGAGAGCTAAAAAGTAGTGATTGAACAGTTTGGTCAAAGGTTTTGGCATCATGAGAGTGTAAATGGGGAGAATTTCCGGGCAATCTGAGTAATTAAATAATACAATCTTTTATGTTCTTATGCTGTGGACTGGGGACTTTTTCCTTTTGGGTTGAGCGTTGAATGTGATAGAATGAATGATGTAACAAAGCAAATCAGCTGGCAGCCGCCAGAGGTTTTTTAGCTTATTTTGGGCCCAACTATGATATGATTATATTTTTCACTAATGCTTTTATAATTTCTAAATGCTATGTTAAATGAACCTGAACTGCATCAGATCATCAAATCATTAACCACATGAGATATACAGAAATACTGGATAAGCTATTACAATATTGTAGTATTTTGCATAGCGTGGTTCTCAGTTCTGACTGGCATAGTGAGAATAAGGAAACTTCCATCTACGTGATGTTATCAATTAGTATTTTAAGTAATTGACCTCCAAAAAAGTTCATTAACCCATACTACTCTTCTGGGAAACAGATACAGTTTTTCTTCTTGTTTTGATTGTTAATTCAAATTAAATAATCTAATGCATGGAGCCCTTCATCTTTCATATTCATTTCAAACTGATACTGTTGTTTTGTTTTCGTTTTTCTTTTCTGAATCCAATTTTGGTTTGTTCTTTTAGCAGAGAATTTTCAACGGTCAAAAGGCGAAACATTGTTATAAGTAACAGTACCAGTCTTCGGGTTTAACAATGTGGGATCGGGCTGATGCGGATGGTCAAATATTACAAAGAAATATTGATCATTTCAAAAGTTGTTATTTCAAGACTACTGATCACATTAGTAAGTAAATTTATTTAGAGACACAAAACTACGAAAAAGCATTATTTTGAGTAAGTAATTACTCTGAGCTTTTGTGATCACAGATGGCATGCAATTGTGCCTGCAACTTTATATTCATGTAGTTAAACTGAACTGTAATTATATAGCTCATTCATCATTATTTTGACCGGGCTTCCCAATGGAGAGCTCAAAATCCCTTGTGGTAATTCTGCCTAACTTTTGCCCCGATTTCCTTTACAATATTTTGATCAATTGGTCAAAGGTTACAGAAGAGTACTGAGAGTGATCACATTAGTATGTAAATTCAGAGAAACAAAACAACAAAAAGGCATAAATTCTTGAACTTTTGTGATCACAGATGGCAAACACAATAGTGCCTGGAAATTCTTTCTTATGCATGTTAACTGAACTGGAGTTATGTATAGCTTAATTAATATTCACCATTACTTTGACTGGGCTTCCAAATGGAGAGAGCAGAAAGAATTCTTCCTTTCCACCCCTGAAGAATCCAGTTGCAGTCTTCATCAACCTCAAAATCCTTATGGTAATTCTGCCAAACTTTTGCCCTGATTTCCTCACAATGTTTCCTCAACCCTTTGGGCCGGCCTGAATCCAGATTGGGGAAACTCGATTCCTGTTATTGTAGCTTCGGTGAGCCAGAAGATCTCCTGCTGAGACCCTTTATGAGGCAGGGCCAATGAAAGCCATAGAGTATACCAAAATCAATAATATGAATCTTTTCGGACTCCTTTGTTGCTTCCAGGATTGATTTTGCATAAGATATATGTGACATTCTCGTGAAGGGGCACGCCAGGATACATGGCTGATAAGCCATCAATGTTTCAGCAGCCGAAACTCGCCCTGAAGCGGCATACGATGCTGTTGCTATGCCAGAGACACGAGCCTCCAGGGCATTAGCAAAGTAATGCGCTAATCTTTCGGTGGCATCACCCATGGGAGAAAAGCTTTCCCACGCATTGCGCACACTGAGTTAAGACCTCAAATCAGCTGCATTTTTCGAAAAATGGAGCTTCTTCTTAGCATCACTGGCTCTTGGAGCCTCCTTTTTTTTTTTTGTCATTTTTGTTTTTGGGGGAAACTTGGGCTCTGTTTGTCCTGCTGTTTTTGTTTTCGTTTTTGTGTATTTATGATCTTGGATTGGCCCAAGAACAGTTTTTGGCCTATAATTCTTTATTATTTTATTTCATCACCTATAACCACCTACTTGCCGTCATTATGCAGCTACAGTGGCGGTGGCGATTCAGCCGGAATTGACGAGTCGGCCCAGCCATTGGGCCGGTCGCTGACTCCCTAGGCGATGTATGGGTGAATGGCGGTTGGATCGCGTTTTAGTTTTAGTTTTACCCCTTTTCCTTGTGGGTTTTGGACTATTGTTGATTTCGATTCTTACATGCCCTTCACACATAATTTCAAATGTTTAGACGGGCTATAAATTAAGTACTTAAGGTTTACAGTTGTTGTTGTCAGTTTTTCATGAGTCCTGTTCCACATTTTCACATTCAACCTTTTTTGTTAGAGTGAACCTCAAAATAAGTCATCAACTTTTAATATATTTCCACTTTAGGTCATCAATTAAATTTATTTGTAACACAGATTACCTTACTAAAGTTTTAATCCATTTCAAATTATTCTGTTAATTTTGGCCGTTAAATAGTGATGGAAATCCATTTTTTACATGTTTTTGGGTTCAAAGGTATTATTGTCATTTTCTTATTTTTTTTATTTTTTAATCTTTTAATTTTTTTTTTACAATTATTCTTCTTAGACTTCCAAACTTGTATATACTGGTAGTATAATTCTAAATTTTAAAATTTATTTTCCTTTTGTATTTTAACTTCTAGATTATAAATTTTTTTAAAAAAAAATTCAGAAATGAAGAAGAAAAATTCGAGTTAAAGTAAATATGAAAATAAATAATTTAACATTTAAGAAAAAAAAGAAAAATTAAAATAATTAGATAAGACAAGTTGTTTCTTCTAGGTTATTTAATTTTTTTCAACTCAATTGAATTATTTAATTATTAATTTTCACGTTTCTTATTCCTTTTTTTAATAATCTACAAGTTAATATACAAATGACAAATTAATTTTGAAAAATGAATTTGTTTGTCATTTTTATCTTAACTTCTAGATTATAAAAAAAAGGAATAAGAAACGTGAAAATTAATAATTAAATAATTCAATCGAGTTGAAAAAAATTAAATAACCTAGAAGAAACAACTTGTTTTAGCTAATTCTTTTAGTTTTTCTTTTTGTTTAAAATGGTAAATTATTAACTTTCATGTTTACTTTAACTCGAATTTTTCTTCTTCATTTCTAAATTTTTTTAAAAAAATTTATAATCTAGAAGTTAAAATACAAAAGGAAAATAAATTTTTAAAATTTAGAATTATACTACCAGTGTATACAAGTTAGGAAGTATAAGAAGAAGAATCGTAAAAAAAATAAATTAAAAGATTAAAAAATTAAAAAATACTAAAATGATAAAAATACCCCTGAACCCAAAAGCATGTGAAAAATAGATTTCCGTCACTATATAACTGCCAAAATTAACAGAATAATCTGAAATGGATTAAAACTTTAGTAAGGTAACCTGTGTTACAAATAAATTTAATTGATGACCTAGAGTGAAATATATTAAAGGTTAGATGACTTGTTTTGAGGTTCACTCGTTAAATAAGGGCTTTCCTAAAAGCTCAAGGACCAAAGCTTATGTCGAAGTCCACAATATGGAGTCTGGTAGCTGCTGCTGCTGCTTGCAGGTATCATTTTTTTGTGAGGAAAATGTATATCTGCCTGAATGCATCACAAATAATTCTTTGGCTTTTCAGTTCCTCAGCTGCTTGTGTATTTTTCCATTAGGGACGTTGCCTGTAAGCAATGAATCACCAATCACTCATCTGCATTGCCTAAAAAACACACGTGCTGGCGTACCAGCTTCGGTTGTTCATTTGCACAGTTATGATTGTAAGCTGTAACAAGCTGTGCACATCTAATCAAAAGCTATTGCGGTGTCAAGAGCATCAAGTGCTTTCTTAGAAGCCTTGGTGTTTCGCTAGGATGCTCTAGATCAATATAACACGGCACTCTCCCTCTTGCTTCTGCGTCATGCAATAATCTGCCAAATGTTTCTGGCTTTCTGCTAAATCAACTTCGTCAAACAGAAGCAGACTGTTTGCTCTTTCTTTCTCCATATGATTGCTTCTGCCCTCAAGGAATAAATACTCCCACAAGTAAAATCCGAAAAGCAACTAATTATAAAGGTAGAGGTTCTATAAAAGATGCAAAGCTAGTATAGGTAAAATTCAAATAAAAAATCAAATCTCAAAACAAAAAAAAAAAAACAAAAAAGAAAAGGATTGTTTGAGTAATTATTCTGAACTTTTGTGATTACAAATGGCACATAATTGTGCCTGGAAATTCTTTTTTATTCATCATTACTTTCACAGGGCTTCCAAATGGAGAGTGCAGAAAGAATTCTTCCTTTCCAGCCCTGAAGAATCCAGTTGCAGTCTTTATCAACCTCAAAATCCTTGTGGTAATTCAGTCTAACTTTTGCCCTGATTTCCTTCACAATGTTTTCACCCACTGGGACTTGCCTGAACCCAACTCTCAAGTTCCTGACTCCCCATTGCTTATATGTGTTAGGCCTCTCAACCCTTTCACTCCCTTCACATGCTATCACATTCATCACATCCCTTCCCAACACTTCTTTCTCGCACACCAACCTGTCTTGATCGTGGCGTGGTAAATTCTTGTCAAACATGTCGAACAATGATGAGAAATGATGCAGCGCTTCCCTGCACCGTGTTGCAAAGAATGGAGCATTGTAAGTTCCGTTCAGGATGCCATGGATAAAGATTTCAGGGTTTATTTCCCTGATCAGGTGGAGGACTTTGTCCCTTGGACTAATGCCGGCTATCTCGTCATCTTCAGGGACATTCTTGAGACGATGCAAGCACATGACTATAGTGGTTTCACTTTTGTCAAGTTGCAGATCCTGTAAAGTTATTGTCTCCCATTTCTTTGCTATGGCGTGATACTCAAATGGAACACTGAAGATTTTGCAGTAACGGGCGAGCCTGCGCCCTGTTTCCTCCACCCTTTCAGCCGGTCTGAATCCAGATTGGGGAAACTCTATTCCTGTTATGTGTAGTTTTGGTGAGCCAGACGGTCTTCTGCTGAGACCCTTTATGAGGCAGGGCCAATTAAAGCCATATAGTATACCAAAATCAATGATGTGGATCTTTTCGGACTCCTTTGTAGCATCCAGGATTGATTTTCCATAAAGTATATGCGACATTCTTGTGAAAGGGCATGCCAAGATATATGCCTGATAAGCCCTCAATGTATCAGCGGCCGATGCTCGCCCTGCAGCTGCATACATTGCTGTTGCTGTGCCAGAGACACGAGCCTCGAGGGAATTAGCAAAGTAATGTGCTAGTCTTTCGGTGGCATCACCAATGGGAGAAGAGTGTTGCCTTATCTGACTTAGCAATTCTAAGGCCCTCCTGTTATCATAGCTGGCCACACATTGTGCACACTGAGTTAGGAGACTCCTCAAATCAACTGCATTTTTTGAAAAATGGAGCTTCTTCTTCGCATCACTGGCTCTTGGCCTTCCTCGCTTAGGCTCTTGGTTTGGGTCAATTTGGTGGTTAGTCCCTCTTCCGGGCTCCAAATCACAGTAAGAGGATAAGAAGACAGGATAGGGACTCGGCTTCAGGTTCAAGCAAAGCAAAATCTTATCATACTCCTCAGTTGGTACCTCGTAGTTACTATAACGAGCAGATATTTTGTTACTCCTTTCCTCTTCATCATCATCATGCTCATCATATTCTTCCCCACTGCGGTTTCTCTTTCCTGTCTCTTTTCTGGCAAAATCCACTCCTTCAGATTGAAAACAAGAATTCTGTGAGTTAACTGTATCCTGAATGACATGAATTAAGGCATTCATGATAAGTCTACTACATGGAATTTGTTGCTCAATCAACTCCTCTATTGTTCGACAGAGCTTCTGGACAAATAACCAAAAAGGCATTGTTAACTGTTAAAATATAGGAGACAATTTGTAATTAGTTTTGTCCAATTGGTTTGTCCAGTTAGAAGTAAAAACGCAACGAGGTTGATTAAAATAAAATCCCTGGAATCAGTGGCATTGATATAATAAGTTACGACGCAAACAGAAGGAAATAGGACTAACCAGTAAGGGCATCAAGAAAGGATCTTTCAGCAGCCTGTAAAGCCAATATGTCTTGATACATGCAAGGCCTTTGCTCCAAATCCTCTTCTTCCATTAGCATTTGATTCAAGAATCTGAGTACTTCGTCGAATGTATCACCCGGCAACGGTCCATCCCCCGTCCAGAGAGCTGCATTGCTTGTCCAATTTGATCCACCTGAAGGGTCAGAATTGAAAACTGAAGACAATTGTTGCGGCTGACCCTCCATGGCGACTTTTCCCTTTAGCTCCACAGAATGAAACACAAAATTTTGTATATCAAGGAAGTCTGTGACTTTGCATTTGTAGAAGAACGAAAGCTAATGGAAAAGATGGAAACATTTTTTGGAAGAATTTATAGGCAGGAGCCAACTTGTATAATTCATATGCCTTGTTTGGCCACGCAATACTGATAGTATTGGTCAAAATTATTCCATAGAAAATTCAGAAATGGCAACCCGAGACTGCCTGTATTGGGACAAATTATGTCATATGACCAAACAACAGATTTTCAATTTTACAATAAACAGTTGATGATAATCCAGTACTATTAAAAGTTCACTAGATAATGTCAAAATTTCAATTTGGATTTTTCCACCTTCGTCAAACATGGTACAGTTACATTAGGGATAAAAAGTACTACCTTTGATAGATGAGATGAAGACAACCTTGGTTGGATTAATGAGAGGCGTTGGATAAAGACACTTTTGGATTGTGCCTTGAAAGGCCCTACAATAAGAAGATAACAGCCCTAAAAAGTCTTCATGGTACAGAGGAAAGATTGACTTGATTTTCCCTACCATGGCCAGAAACTTTTGCTGTCAAGAATAAGAAGAAAGTTGCAGCAAAGACATTGCACACTGACGAAGCTTGGTGATGCAAAATCATCCAGCTTTGCCTTGTTTACGGTGGATGCTTATGATCGGAACTCGCCGCTTGGTGACAAACCTTCCCATTTCTGTTTTTAGCATATTCATTCCCCGGGTGGCTCTCCCATTAGGCAAAATAGGCCATCGCCTAGGGCCTTGGAATCGGGAGGGCCTATATATATATATATGTTAACTAAACTTAGTGTTAATAAATATTGGAAAAGAACGTAAAATTTATAGAAATAAGCGATTTGTTGAAAATATGAAGAATTAATGAAACTCGCTTCGAGATTTTTCAAACTAATTATTTTCTTTACGTAGTTAATAGAGCTATATATCTCATCACTATAAAGTAGATTTAAAAATTTTAAAATAGACGTTAGTATTTTTAGTTTTCTATTTATTTTGTAAAAATTATAAGTACTTGATGATAAAAAATTAGAAAAAAAATTATCTTAACCTTCAAAACTCCATAAAATACAATAATATTTTGGATATTGACGGTTTAGATATATTTATGAACTAAAAATTTTAACAGATAATGTATATATTTGAGAATAATAATTCAACTGATATACTTAGTTATATTAAAAGACTTAATTATTTTTTAATTGCTTATAGGATAATATTAATTAACTATTATTTATGTAACAGTTGGTTCAATAGAAAGAAATTTTTCAAAATTTAAATTAATAAAATATTACTTAAAATCGACAATGTCACAAGACAAATTAAAATGGATTTGCTATTATATTAATAAGAAAAAAGCTCAGTAGAAGAAATAGATCATAGAAATTTCATAAAAGAATTTGCAATCAAAAAAGGTAGAAAAATAACTTAACATAAACAATATTTTCAAAAAAAAAATGCTAAAAAGATAAATTTAATATAAATAATATTTGAGAAAAAATTTTTTAACTTTGTTTGCTATGGACTCACAGGTTTATAGTTATCACCGAAGAATGAAAAGATTAAACCTTTTCTCCATTTTTTTATAGTTTCTTTATTATCAAAAGGCCTCGAATTCAAAACTCGCCTTAGACCCCAAAAAAAGTTGAGCCGCCCCTATCTATTCCATCAACTTCAATGCCATTTTTAACCTAATATGGTCCAAGGTTCTGCTGTTTCTATCACTACGTTTTGATAATTTTGCATATCTCCCATAATCCTCCTAGCTAGGCTCCTTTTCTTTCTCAGATCTCCTTTTCTTTCTCATTTTTATTTCTTCTACTTTTAAAAACGTCAAAGTGGAGCCAAATGTGCATCATACTGAAATTTGCTACTATGATCACTTCTGTCGACCGACGACTTTAGGAGTCCTTCAAAGGTCTACAATATTGTTAAGTCAAATGGTGAAGTGATAGAAATAATATACATTCTCACAAAAATAGTTTATATCTTTTTTTAATTGTATTATTATACTCCCTCCGTCCCATAGTTATTGTCCAGTTTGATCATCTTTGTCAACTTTATTAAACTCACGATTAACTTCATTTCTTGCCTTTCTTCAAATATGCATATTCCTTCTGGAATAACCTGTAACGGGGCAACCCAGTGTTTTGGTTTTATTAAAGTGGTATAGGAAATCAATGGGCTGGATTGTGGATGATGTGTGAAATGTTAATTACGTAAAAACGAACCAATTAACGAAAAGCCACCAAAGTTTGATTCAAATGTTTACTGTAAAAGGATCATTGCAAACTGTTCTTACCAAATCCGGTAATATATAAATTGGCCAATCCTAATAATTAAAATTGATCCAATTCAACTGCTATGGGTAGAAACAACAGTACACTTTATTAATGATTATTATGACACAATCCAGAAGCATCCTTCCATTGACCAAACGTAACGAAGATTTGGTTTGCTTTCTCTTGCCTATTTGATATGAAAAAACCGTTGGGGGGTGGGGAAGAAAAGAAACTTCTAATTTCTATGCAATGGATGATGGTTCCTTCAATTTTCTTGGCAAAAGAAGTTATTAAAAAAAAAAAACAATTCTAACAAAAGCACTGGTTCTCTTTCTGTATTTCATCATTCATGACCACGAAATATTATATTATTTTCTTACATGACAACAGTATTAGATGACACTATAAAGTAAGCGTCTTCCTAATGGTAAGGATTATATGAACTAAATGACCCAAATTTCCCAATTTTTGACTACCCAGAAAGCAGTAACTTAAGAAAATAATAATATCGAAGGATTTTGCAGTTAGAGCGAGCCCATTATCAAGAGAGCGAGGAAGGAAGGAATAAGGTATGAATTTACTTTTACCAAGTTCTGAGGTGCCACTATTTTATCTTGTTAATCCTGCAAAAGGTTACCTTTATGCTCAGTGAAGTTTGTTTTTAGGTTGAGGCAGATAAAGCTAAGTTCTTTGCGAGTCTGCTTTATGTTGCAAACTAACATGCGGTGATTGTGCTCAGGAAATAACAATAGCTTGTAACCTGGATCTAATGGTTAATTCATTTGGGACTCTTGTTTTTTTATCATTCATAATCATGGTGTCACCTGCTGAGGGAAAGTAGAGTTCTTTCTGGGCTGAAAAAGTTCAAAAAATTGGGAGTTACCATATAGCTGTTAAAAACCAATTCGCAGTTAAGTTAGAAGGATTGAGTTGCCCTGTTGAAAATTCCCTCTTGCATTGTCAATTGCGGTGAAGTATTCCTCTCATTTCTCTTTCAGCACCAACGAATTTGTTTCATTCACTTTTAAGTGTTCTTGACTGCGTTTTTTGAGAATTTGGGCTCGCAATTTGACATGTGGAGTGTTTTAGGAAATGATCAAGAAGGTAAACAGATCTGCTTTGTGTCAAGAAAAATGGTGATATATTCTTCAAACTGGAAAGTCATGTGCTTATCCGTGGAAACGCATTAGTCCAATGGTAGTAGTACATATTTCAAAATGTTTCATTAGTACTTAGTCCGTGATTCTATCCAGGATATCAAATACTTTGTGATTTACCCCAATTAATTGCATAAAGTTCAGGTTAAAGTTACAGTCTGCTAGAATGCACCTGTTGTTCAAAAGATATTGTTCAAATCGGAACCTTCTTTTGCCTCCAAGACGTCAATTAGGCCCCTGTTTGCAAGTTTAATGATGTATTCTTGTCTATCTGATGCAGGTTTTTGCTGAAGGAAATGTCAACTGGTTTGCCTTGTAATGAATTATCTAGCAACACAAGGAATCACATTGATTTATATGATAAAGATCTTGTCCAAATTCTTGAGCATTGCCAATTTCTTGAACCTGGAAATGCCGTTGCTCCATCATGCTCAAATGTGAACTGGGAAATGGATTTTCTGCATGATCATGGTCCTGACCCTGTGCTCCAGTACATTAACCAGATGCTCTTGGAAGAAAATCTGGAAGATGAACTAGGAATGTTCCAGGATCCCTTGGCTCTAGAAAGTACTGAAAAATCCTTCTACGATGCCCTAGGCAATGATTCTTCTTCTCCGCCTCCAAATGATGAACCCCTAATATGCAATCAGCAAAATGCAGAAGTTCCAGATAGTTCTTCTCAGAGTTCGAGTGAGCTTTCTCCATGGACCTCTGACCTTGAAAATTATGATTCATCTGCAGGGAGAGATCATGTTACAGCTACTTCCTGTTTATCGTTGCAGACTTATTTGACAAGCCAATCAGACTCTGCTGGTGGATTTTGTGATAGTATCCCGAGTGCACAGACTGATGCCTTTGCTTCTGCAAAACCAGATAGTACAATTCAAAGCATCTTCAGCGATAGTGACTCCATGGTGCTGTTCAGACGTGGAATGGAAGAAGGTAACAAGTTCCTTCCAGCTGTTAGCCAACTTTTCAGTGATTCTGCAAAGTACAAATTACCTACAAAGCCAACAGGGCTTGTGGTGAACATAGAAAGAAATGGAACAGGTGAATTTCATAGCGGAAGGAAGCATCGTCACTCAGATGATGATCATGAATTCAATTATCTTAGAAGCAGCAAGCAGTGTGCAACTGTATCCTCAGTTCAGGAGGATGAGTTGTCAGATAAATTTGATAGAGTACTACTTAATCATGTACCTCCAGAGAATTTGACAGTGCCTAATACCAGTCATGAAGCTCAACATGCATCTAAAAATGAGCTGATTGTCGATAAAAAAACTCGCGGAAGAAAGGCTAGAATTGGTAGTGATGCTCCAGATCTTAGTGCACTTTTAATGAGTTGTGCTCAGTCCGTAGCTGCCAATGATAGGACTACTGCAAATGAACAGCTAAAGCTGATTAAGAAATATGCTTCTCCTACTGGTGATCCTGACCAGAGGTTGGCTGTTCTGTTCGGTGATGGACTCGAGGCACGTTTGGCAGGTACTGGACGCGAGCGATATATAGCTCTTACTTCAAAGAAGATCTCTGCTGCCGAGGAATTGAAAAGCTACAAGGTATTTCATATCTCACCTTTTAAAGCAATTCCAGTGATCTTTGGGAATCAAATGATTCTGGAAAGAGCATCTAAAGCCACCACTCTACATATCATTGATTTTGGAATCGCCTATGGTTTTCATTGGCCAAGCCTCATCCAGCATCTTTCCCACAGGCCTGGCGGTCCTCCCAAGCTTCGCATCACAGGAATAGAGATCCCCCAGTCAGGTTTCAGGCCAACGGAAAGAGTTGAAGAGACAGGTCGCCGCTTGGATAGATATTGTACACGTTTCAATGTACCATTTGAATATCAAGCAATAGCAACACGTAGTTGGGAGACAATCAGCGTTGAGGAACTGAAGGTTACTAGAGGGGAGCTGCTTGTTGTAAATTGTCAATTTCGATTGAAGGACCTACTTGACGAGACTGTGGCTGAGGAGGAGAGTGCAAAGGATGCTGTTTTGCACTTAATCAGAAATCTACATCCTGATATATTCATGACTACTGATGTCAATGGGTTGCATGGTTCACCTTTCTTTCTAACTCGCTTTCGAGAGGCCTATCTGTTTTTCTCCGCTTTATTTGATGCAGTCGACTGTAATCTACCCAGGAATGATGAGCAGCGTATAAAATTTGAGCAAAACTTTTTTGGGCCAGAAATAATGAATTTGGTTGCTTGTGAGGGGCGCGACAGGGTTGTGAGGCCTGAGTCGTATAAGCAATGGAAGGTGAGGTGTATAAGGGCTGGATTCAAACTCCTTCCGCTAAGGGAAGACCTCATGAAGGAGTTAAGGAATCGAGTGAAGACAAATTATCACAAAGATTACGTTTTAGATGAAGACAGAGGCTGGATGCTGCAAGGGTGGAAAGGCAAGATAATTACTGCTAGCTCCTGTTGGGTACCTGCATAGGACTCTGCAATATCCTTCATTGTGTATAAAGTTTGGGAACCCTTGTTTTACGGCGTCCTTGTTGAGGAATTATGAAACTTGGGTCTGCATGTTGTCAGCACTGAGCAATTGTTTATGTCTAGTCTGCTACTCTGCTTCTGTTCTTTTCATTTTTTTTTTCCCTTTTCTGTGTTAATGTCTAAATTTGTAAATAGATCTATAAACATAGTGCCTAGCTTGCATTTTAGTTCTTTTCGCTGTGTATATTATTTATGGTATTATAATCTAAGGTGTAGGCAGGCATCTGCTTTGCTGCAAATTTCTTCTTCTTAGAGCAGAAGTGTCTCAACAGAGTAGGGAATAATCAAGTCATTTTTTCCTCTGTACCGTGATGCATTGCATTCTACACTGTGGCAGCTATCTACTAATTTTTGTAGAGGGCCTTTTTAAGGCATAATCCAAAAGTGACTTTATGCATTGCCTCATTTAATCCAACTGAGGTCTGAGGTTACCTTGTCATCTTATCCATGAAAGTTACTTTTTATTTCGAATGTTACCGTACAGTAAAGGTTTGACTGATAAAAAGCTGATGAAAGGCAGGTTTGACAGAGTTACAGGAGCAAAAACTATATCTTGTACCAGTAAGCTTGTCTGATGTTCTCGTTTCGGATTTTACTTGTGGAAGTAATTATTCCTTGAGGAGGGCAGAAGCAACCATATGGAGAAAGAGACACTTTTGGATTGTGCCTTAAAAAGGCTCTACAATTACAAAAAGATAGCCGCCCTAAAACTCTTCATAGCAAATATTGACTGGATTATTCCCTAACATGGCCAGTAACTTTTTGCTCTCAACAAGAAGAAGAAGAAGAAAGTTGAGCGAACGTCCGCACTCCGCACCAGCAGGTGCGTGTTGAGCCGAATGAGGTTTTTTTTCTGGACCAGCAAGCATTAAGCATTGGATTGATCGTACGGATCAAGCGCTACCATAACGCCATCATCGTTGAAGATGAAACCCATGGTTGTCATTAATTCCACTTTCAAACCCGGGATAAAAATCATCATTGAAGGTATTCGATCAATCGTTCTGTCTTTGATCAACTTCTTTGCCGAGTTTGGACAAGTTTCCGTGTTGTGAGTCGCGGGGTGTTCCTCGTATTTATAGGTGATGGATGGGTGAACGTGTGGTTAGGATGGAGTTGTGACCATTAATCTGCAGGACGATTGGGTTGTACCCCTTTTTCCGAGTCGGTGTTGGAATATTGTTGACTCTTTTTTGGAAACCGAAGAAAGAAATGGACAACGTGGTAATACAGAATTTCCAGGGCACAATTGTTTGACATCTGTGATCACAAAAGTTGAGAATAATTACTCATGAATTTGTGCTTTTTTTTTTTTTTTTGGATTAATGAGGCAATGCATAAAGTCACTTTTGGATTATGCCTTAAAAAGGCCCTCTACAAAATTAGTAGATAGCAGCCATGAAAGTCTAGAATGCAATGCATCATGGTGCAGAGGGAAAAAGTGACATGATTATTCCCTACCCTGTTGACAAACTTCTGCTCTAAGAAGAAGAAAATTGCAGCATCGCAGATGCCTTCACCTTAAGATTATAATACCGTAAGAATATACACCGAGCCAAAATAACTGAAATGCTTGCTAGCCACTATGTTTATAGATCTATTTACAACTTTAGACATTAACACAGAAAAGGTGAAAAAAAATTTTTTTTGAAAAGAACAGAAGGAGAGTAGCAGAATAGAAATAAACAATTGCTCAGTGCTGAAAACATGCAGACCCAAGTTTCACAATTCCTCGACAAGAACGCCGTAAAACAAGGGTTCCAAAACGTTATAGACAATGAAGGATATTGCAGTGTCCTATGCAGGTACCCAACAGGAGCTAGCAGTAATTATCTTGCCTTTCCATCCTTGCAGCATCCAGCCTCTGTCTTCATCTAAAACGAAATCTTTGTGGTATTTTGTCTTCACACGATTCCTTAACTCCTTCATGAGATCTTCCCTTAGCGGTAGGAGTTTAAATCCATCCCGTATACACCTTACCTGCCATTGCTTGTACGTCTCAGGCCTCACAACCCTGTCGTGCCCCTCACAAGCAACCAAATTCATAATTTCTGGCCCAAAAAAGTTTTGCTCAAATTTCACACGCTGCTCATCATCCCTGGGTAGATTACAGTCAACTGCATCAAATAATGAGGAGAAAAACAGATAGGCCTCTCGAAAGCGAGTTAGAAAGAAAGGTGAACCATGCAACCCGTTGGCATGATTAGTTATGAATATGTCAGGATGTAGATTCCTGATTAAGTGCAAAACAGCATCTCTTGGACTCTCCTCCTCGGCCACTGTCTCATCAAGTAGGCTCTTGAATCGAAATTGACAATTTACAACAAGCACCTCCCCTCTGGTAACCTTCAGTTCCTCAACTCTGATCGTTTCCCAACTTCGTGTTGCTATAGCTTGATATTCAAATGGTACATTGAAACGTGTACAGTATCTATCCAACCGGCGACCTGTCTCTTCGACTCCTTCTGTTGGCCTGAAACCTGACTGGGGGATCTCTATTCCTGTGATGCGAAGCTTGGGAGGGCCGCCAGGCCTGTGGGAAAGATGCTGGATGAGGCTTGGCCATTGAAAACCATATGCGATTCCAAAATCTATTATATGTAGAGTGGTAGCTTTAGATGCTCTTTCCAGAATCAGTTGATTCCCAAAAATCACTGGAATTGCTTTAAAAGGTGAGACATGAAATACCTTGTAGCTTTTCAACTCCTCGGCAGCAGATATCTTCTTTGAAGTAAGAGCTATATATTGCTCGCGTCCAGTACCTGCTAAACGCGCCTCGAGTCCATTGCCGAACAGAACAGCCAACCTCTGGTCAGGATCACCAGTAGGAGAAGCATATTTCTTAATCAGCTTTAGCTGTTCATTTGCAGTCGTCCTATCATTGGAAGCAACGGACTGAGCACAACTCATTAAAAGTGCACTAAGATCTGGAGCATCACTACCAATTCTAGCCTTTCTTCCACGAGTTCTTTTATCAACAATCAGCTCATTTTTAGATTCACGTTGAGCTACATGACTGGTATTAGGCACTGTCAAATCCTCTGGAGGTACATGATTAAGCAGTACTCTATCAAATTTATCCAATAACTCCTCCTCCTGAACTGAGGATACAGTTGCACACTGCTTGCTGCTCCTAAGATAATTTAAATCACGATCATCATCTGAGTGACGATGCTTCCTTCCGCTATGAAAATCAGCTGTTCCATTTGTTTCTATGTTCGCCACAACCCCTGTAGGCTTTGTAGGTAATTTGTATTTTGCAGAATCATTGAACAGTTGGCTAACAGCTGGGAGGAACTTGTTACCTTCTTCCATTCCACGCCTGAACAGCACCATGGAGTCACTATCGGTGAAGATGCTTTGAATTGTGCTATCTGGTTTTGCAAAATCAAAGGCATCAGTCTGTGCACTCAGGATTCTATCACAAAATCCACCAACAGAGTCTGATTGGCTATTCAAATAAGTAGCTGAAACAACATCTCTCCCTGCAGACGAATCATCGTATTGAAGGTCAGAAGTCCATGGAGAAAGCTCACTCGAACTCTGAGAAGAACTATCCGGAACTTCTGCCTTTTGCTGATTGCATATTAGGGGTTCATCATTTGGAGGAGGAGAAAAAGAATCACTGCCTAGGGCATCGTAGAAGGATTTTTCAGTACTTTCTAGAGCCAAGGGATCCTGGAACATCCCTAGTTCATCTTCCAGGTTTTCTTCCAAGAGCATCTGGTTAATGTACTGCAGCACAGGGTCGGAACCATGATCGTGCAGAAACTCCATTTCCCAATTCATGTTTGAGCATGATGGAGCGACGCCGTTTCCAGGTTCAAGAAATTGGGAATGCTCAAGCATTTGGACAAGATCTTTATCATACAAATCACAGTGATTCTTTGGGTTGCTAGATAATTCATTACAAGGCAAACCAGTTGGCATTTTTTGTAACAAAAACCTGAATCAGATAGACAAGCATAAATCATTAAAGTTGCAAACAAGGACCACATTGACTTCTTGGAGGCAAAATAAGGTTCCGATTTGAACTATACCTATATCTTTTGAAGAACAGATACATTCTAGCAGACTGCAACTTCAACCTGAACTTTATGCAATTATAAGGGGAAATCACAAAGTATTTGGTATCCTGGATAGGATAACGGACAAAGTATTCATGAAAATTTTTGAAATATGTACCACTACCAAGGGACTAGTACATTCCCACAAGATAAGCACATGACTTTCCAGTTTGAAGAATAATATATCACCATTTTTCTTGACACAAAGCAGATTTGTTTACCTTCTAGATCATTTCCTAAAAACCTCCACTTGTCAGATTGGGAGCCCATATTCTTTAAAAATGCAGAGGGCAACTCAATTGACAAATGCAAGACGGAATTTTCAACAGGGCAACTCAATCCTTCTAACTTAACTGCAAATTGGTTTTTAACAGCTGTATGGTAACTCCCAATTTTTTGAACTTTTTCAGCACAGAAAGAACTCTACTTGCCCTCAGCAGGTAATACCATGATGATGAATGAAAAAAAAAACAAGAGTCCGAAATGAATCAACCATTAGATTCAGATTACAAGGTATTGTTATTTGTTGAGCACAATCACGGCATGTTAGTTTGTAACATAAAGAAAACTCGCAAAGAACTAAGCTTTATCTGCCTCGAGCTAAAAACAAACTTCACTAAGCATAAAGATAACCTTTTTGCAGGATTAACAAGATAAAATAATGGCACCCCAGAACTTGGTAAAAGTAAATTCATACCTTATTCCTTGCTTCCTTCCTTTCTTGATGATGGGCTCGCTCTAGCGGCAAAATCCTGGGATGTTATTATTTTCTTAAATTACTGCTTTCTGGGTAATCAAAAGTTGGGAAATTTGGGTCATTTAGTTCATATAATCCTTAGTTCCTTACAATTAGGAAGAAGCTTACTTTATAGTGTCATCAAATAATATTATTTCGTGGTCATGAATGATGAAAGACAGAAAGAGAACCAGCGCGGCCTTTGTTCCCATATAAATAAAATAGGCAAAGAATGCAAACCAAATCTTAGTTACATTTGGTCAATGGAAGGATGCTTCTGGATTGTGTCATTATAATTACTGTTATTTCTTACCAATAGGCAGTTGAATTGTGATCAATTTTATTATTTGGATTGGTCAATTTAATATATTACCAGATTTGGCAATGATCCTTTTACTGTAAACATTTGAATCAAACTTTCGTTAATTAACATTTCACGCGTCATCCATAATCCAGCTCATTGATTTCCTTTACCACTTTGATACAGGCTATTCCAGAAGGAATATGCATGTATATAGAATTTAATGAAGTCGACAAAGATGGTCGCACTTTTTCTTTTTTCTTTTCTATAAAACACTAAGGGAAAATTTGGATGAGGGAATGGTGGACGCCGCTAAATTAATAAAAGGGGTATGACTTTAAAATAACTTTTATTAAGGGCGTAATTTATTTGCCACAGATTAGAAAATCAAAACACTTGTGCAATGACATTGTTACCCTGATTATTTATTATCCTACTCCTTATTAGAGATTAAGTTTTAATAGAAGTACAAAATCAACCAAATTATTAATAATTAAATCCTACCTATCAATTGTCTTAAATCTTAACATTCTATATTATTTTTAAAAACTAATCTGAAAGAGCCTGACAAAGCAAAATCAGAATTCCTACCATACAATTCGGCAAAGCTCTTCTTCCTATTTTTTTTTAATGAATAAAAATATATAAAATCAAATTAAAGAGGAACCTCAAAAAAAAGACTAAAATTAGCTCTCATCTTGGGTTTTGGGATGATGTAATTGAGATGTATGTGAAGGGAATTGTGTTTTTTTTTTTTTTTGACTATTTTGCTTGAAGATTGTTGAAAAGAACTCAAAACAATGTGAGGTATCAGGGATCTGACTGCATTCAAACAAATTAATTCCCGTGAAAAAGTATTTTTTTTAATTTTTTTTTGTGGTATAATAAATAATTAGGGTAATAATGTCATTACATAAGTGTTTTGAATTTCTAATTTATGACAGATAAATTACTGCCCTTAATAAAGATTATTTTGAAGTCATATCCCTTTTATTAATTTAACTATATCCACTGTCCTTCATCCAAATTTTTCCTAAGCAGAATAGTATAATTAAAAAAATGTAAACTATTTTTGTGAGATAAAAAAAAAATGTATACATTATTTTCGATCACTTCAATTTAACTTAACAGTACTGCAGACCTTTGAGGGGCTCCTAAAGTCGGTTGACAGAAATGGCCATAGTAGCAAATTTTAGTAAGATGCAAATTTGGCACCACTTTGACGTTTTTTAAAAGTAGAAGAAATTTTTTTGTTTTTTTTAAAAAAAAAAAGATGAAAGAAAAGCAGTTCTGAGAAAGAAAAGGAGCCTAGCTAGGAGGATTATGGGAGATATACAAAAATTATCAAAACAAATAAAGGAGAGAAAATGATCATATTTTTTTTTGTCTGTCTCCAACAATTCCAGAGAAGATTAGATGCATAGGGATCAATGCTTTTTGTCACCCTGTTGCAAAAGCCAACTAACTTCATCATCCTTTAACCTCCACTCCAAATAAAACTTTAGGGAAATCCATCTTGTCCACCAAATTTGGAGAGCTTGTAATTTCTCGTCGATTGCGTTGTCAATTTCTGGTTTGAGGTTGACAAGGAAAACAAATTAGAGAGACAGCAGAAAACTTTGATGGCTAACATGTTGCGTACTAACTACCACCTTTTATGGTCTACTAAATTTTGATGGCTGAATATTTTACTTAGTGAAAGAAAAGCTGAAAACTTGCAGGCAAAAAAATTTCATCAAAATTATTTTTTTAATGTATTCCCTTTTTTAAATTTATTTATTTAATTAATTTATTTAATTTATTCAGGGGCGAAACTTATTTATTTGTTTGGTAGTTAAATATTTTATTTTTGGCCAAAAAATTTATTTATTTACCAAAAAAACATTATGAAGTATTTAAGTTAAAAAAAATTATTTATTTACCAAAAAAATTCTCTAAATATTTAAGTTAATTTTCTTATGCTATTATAAAGTATTTTATATTTTTTTACCATGCCTTTTACTTATTCGTATTTTATATTTCATATTTTTTATATTTTATATTTTAAATTTTTTTCCAAAAAAAATTCTCAGGACAGCTAGATGCACCAATGATAAATAAATATTTTTTTAATTTAAATATTCAGAGAATGATAGTTTTTTTAGTTAGTAGTAAATTGATTCTTTAATTTATAAATAGTTAGTGTATTTTTATTAATTATTTATAAATAATTTATTTGGTAGTAACTGTATAAGTTTTAGTTGCTATTAAATGATAATTTTTTTTAAGTTTAAACATTCTACATAATTAGGTGATAAATTTTCATAAGAATTTATTACGTAATTAAGCAACATTCTCCAAATATTTAAGTTAAAAAATTATTTATGTAAGTTAAAATTATTTATTTAACCGCCAAACAAATAAATAAATAAATTTAAAAAGGGGGGTATTATCCCTTTTACCTTATTAAAGCAGAAGACATGAAGCTTATGTGGCAACTAAGTATGCATCTGTTTTGGCTCCAATGCACCATATTTCAGATTTCAGGAGTCTTTTTGCCACGTGTAAGTCTCTTTTAATTAGAAGTTATATAATTTTTTTTAAAAAAAACACACATGTTTTACTACAAATAAGGATCAGTTACATTTCAAATGAATGGATATATTAATTCAAATTCAAATGTCCAATCGTATAGTTTTGCAGGCTTAATATAAACAAAAAATAAAAATACTTAAATCCAGCAATTAAGAACAATGCCTTATAAACTAATTATTTATTATTCCCTTATAACCTCAGATTTATAGGTATATTTTTTTAAGCCTCAAATCATAGCATAAATGATATATACACCAAATTAATTCCTCAAAAAATAGTAATTCAATTAAATTTTAATAAAATAGTAATTTAGAAGGGGCGCCCGGGCATCTGCCTGGGCCAAACATTTAGTTTAACTTAAAGCAACATTCTTTGAGTTTTGTTTCTTTATCATTTTTTCTGCAGAAACAAAACTCGGAATCAACGCCTAACAAGGACCGTTTGACTGGAGTATGATCCAAAAGACTTCGCAGAATCCAAACAGAGATGTAGTTCAATTCCTTTAGCACTTGAGTGCTTTGCAGAATCAAATCTAGAAAGCACTTAAATGGTCAGGCGAAAAGAAAATTGCAAGACCACAGAGATATAACATTATAACAAGGGAAAAAAAAAAAAGCCTTTGATTTTATCAGTGAAACTTTTACTGTTGTTTAGGATTTGTTTTTGGTAAAGGTTAGACGTTGCTACTTAGTGGCCTGTACAATTTTTATTAACTCCAGCTTTGCACTTAATTTCAAATGACTAATATTCCCTCCATTCCAAAATAAGTGTCGTTTTGACAAAATGAAAAAATTCCAAAATAAGTGTTGTTTTTGGATTCCAATGTATTTTTTGTCAAAAATTTCCAAACATACCCTCAAAAGAAATAATATTATTGGTGAACATTTATTTTAATGGGGTTGGTTGAGGATATTCTAGTAATTTAGTTATCCTATTTAATGTTTTCTTAAACTGTGTGAAACTCTAGAATGATACTTATTTTGGAACGGAGGGAGTATTGATCTTCCCCCCAAGAGAAACACATTTTTCGTTTTCTCAATATATTTTTCATAATGCGTACTGTGTGAGTGTGTGTCTTTAACTTATTTTTTTCTATCTTCAATGCACTTTCTTAAAACTATTAATCCATAACCCATGCTCAGATATTAAAAAAAGACAGTTAAATTAATTAAAAAAATTAAAGGAAAAAAAAAAAAACTACCAGATGAGTAACTCCAATACTTAATTTTTTTTTATTTTGAATATATTTGCTTCTCTTAATTCACACTTCACTGTATTAGAGTAGTTTGTTATCACTTCATCACTCTAGCGAGTTTCGAGTCATGGACATAATCATTGAAATTGTTCATTAATCAACACTAACTACTGTGTATGGTAAGAGAACACACACTTTAATGATGAAGTTCATCTGGATGATGATCACTGCTTCATAAGGTGAGCACATAGCTTAAGCCAACACAACACAAAACTAGGACATAATATACATAATACATCGTTTTGCCAAATTTAAAGTCCATCATCCGATAATCATTCATTGCTGAAACTAGCATACCCTACTTACAGTCTACATTATCGAACCATCAATTTCTACATGGATACCTACGCGACAGACCGCCCTAAGAGAAGCTTTCAAAGACAAGAAGGTGCAACCGAAAAACACTACACTAGTAATGACTGAAACTACTTTGTAGGTAGGTCTGAAGTTTACCCAAAACTGCATGTTCATCTGTCTCGATAGTCATCCCTCCAAATCATAATTAAACTAAACTCCTAACAAGGAAGCAGTTACTGCAGGAAGCTGCAGATGGCATGAACATCAAGAAACTCATACCACTTCAACCCACGGCACATGAAATGCATAGCATCTCGTGAGGGGACTTCATGCAGAGATGATGGCTACAATGGACAAGTAGAGCACAATATCATTGTATACTTTGTACATATGAGTTGGCTGGCATATAAACATGGTGTCACATGGTGCAGCACGCGCGCCAGTGCTAGGATGCGCATCCTTGCAAGTCGCGCCAAGATAGAAGAGATATTTTAAGAACTGTAGAAACACAACCACCTTTGTTCAAGATTCCAGAGGCTGCCCCCAGTATCAGCAGCCCGACGGCACACGGAAGTTATAATTAAGAATCCTAGGCAGGTATCCAGCAGGAACTAGCATATATAATCCGGCCTTTCCATCCTTGCAACATCCAGTTACCATCTTCGTCAAAGACAAAATCTTTGTGATAACCAGCCTTTGTCTTGGCCCTCAACTTCTTCATAACCTCCGGGTCCAAAGGAAGGGGCTTAAAACCAGCCCTTGTATGGCGAACATGCCATTGTTTGTATGTCTCCGGCCTGACAACCCTCTCTGGGCCCTCACAAGCAATGACATTTATAGCCTCGCGTCCATAAAACTCTTGCTCAAAATTCAATCTTTCAGGACAATCACGAGGTAAGGTCGCTTCAAATATATCAAATAACGAAGAGTAGTGAAACAGGGCCTCCCGGAACCGAGTTACAAAAAATGGAGCACTATACGCTCCATTACTTGCCGAGTTCACAAAGATGTCAGGGTTCATCTTCCTGATTAACCTTAATACTGCATCCCTGGGACTATCAACTATGACCGTCTCATCAAGAAGGTCGTTGAACTGAAACAGACAACTAACAGCAAGATACTCACCTTCTACTAAATTCAGGTCCTCAACCGTAAGGGTCTCCCAGTTCTGCAATGCTATAGCGTTATATTCAAACGGCACACTGAATCTCTCACAGTACCTAGCCAAACGACGCCCTGTCTCTTCCACTCTCTCGGACGGCCTAAATCCAGGTTGAGGGCGCTCGATTCCGGTAATGCGAAGCTTCGGGGGCCCACCAGCTCTGCTTGAAAGCTGCTGAATCAACATCGGCCACTGGAAACCATAATTAATACCGAAATCTACAATGTGCAGCGTTTTCGCATTTGAGGCTTTCATCTGGATCATTTTATTGGTGAAGAAGATTGCTATCTTTTTGAATGGACAGGCTGAAAGGTAAACCTGGTATGCTTTCAACTTCTCAGCAGCAGAGATCCTCTTCGATGCTAAACTTGCATAAACTTCAGTTCCAGTACCAGCCATGCGCGCCTCGAGCCCATTTGCAAATAGCCTGGCCAACCTCTGGTATGCATCACCAGTGGAAGATGAGTGCTGTCTGATCTGCTTTAATTGTTCAGTGGCCGTCCTTCGATCATCAGCAGCAACTGATTGAGCACAGCTGATCAACAGCGTCCTCAAATCCACTGCTTCAGTTTGATTGCTCCCCTGATTCCTAGTACGAGCTGCTTTTCCATTACTCGCTCCATTCAAATTTAAATTCCCCTGCTGCCCCATACTGTCCATATCCTCGCAAGCTCCCTCCCCTTTGCAAAGCAGCACCTTATCAAACATTTCAGATAGTTCAGCCTCTTCAACATAGACTGCCGATTGCTTGCTGATCCTCTGCTCCCCTAAATCACTTTCCTGCCGGTGTAGATGTTTTTTTCCCTTGGAGCCACCAATAGAAGAAGACTCTTCATTTTCACCCCTTTCTATCTTGACCTGAGAATCCAGCCTGGAGAAATCATCAGAAGACTTGGGGGGTAACGCATACTTATCTAAATCAAAAGACAGTGGATTCCCAGTTGGTAGAAATTTACGAGCTTCCTCCATCCCCTTCTGGAACTGCAAGATGGACTCACTATCACTAAAAATATTCGGAATCATATTACTAAACCCAAATGAGTCCATCTGCCGGCCATTATTCAAACTACTACCAAAGCTCCTCGGAGAACTAAACAACATATTTGTTGGATTTATTTGAGATGCTGACTGGAAAGAATCAGAGGAGTAACTCTGCCCACCAGATGGCGATATATGCTCCCCGGGATCGATAGAACTACTAACAGTAGTACTGCTGTTTGTACTATACTCACTGGAAACTCCAAACAGGCTATCCGGGCTCCCAGCATTATGATCATGCTGGTATGCTGCTGGCAGAGGGTAATTTTGGCCCAAGGCATCATAAAACGATTTCTCAGCAGCTTGTAATGCAAGAGGATCATGAAACATGCTAGGTTTCTCTTCCATATTCTCTTCCAAGAGAATCTGGTTAAGATATCTGAGCACAGGATCTGAGTCACCGTCATCAGGCGATTCCACCTCAGAGCTATTACTAGAGGAAATGGGAAGGTTGTTAGCAGGGCCAAGACCAAGGCCAGGGCCAGGATCGGGTGAAAAGGTGGAATCCAGCAAATTGAGCTCTAAAGGGTAGTCTCTGAATTTCAAACCACCATTTAGAAGAGTAGGAGATTCGTCATAACTTGGTAATACAATCTCATCATCAAACTTGTAATTACTGATCAAGTCAGGCAAAAGGTTCGCCTGTTGATCCATCAGTACTACTACTGCACAGGACTACTACTCAAATTCTGCATCAAAAAGACAAGTAAAATGATATCATTAAGCAATCTCAGATAAAATTCCACTTAAATTGCAGCAATAAAGATCAATCAATTTGCTGTCAAACACTTGATCAACATAAAATGACTAGATGACTAGCACCAGGCTAAATATCAGGCAGATATGTACATTGAATGAATTTATTACAGCAACAAATTCAGCTTAAGTAAAAATTGAACTGAAAGAAAATAGATAAATCTTTAAGAAAATTAAAAAAAAATAAAAAGAGGAAGAATGCCATTGCAAATAATAAAAAAGGAAAACCAAAAAAACTCAGGAGAAAACCGTGACAACGTTTATTATAATCAGCAATATAAGAGCGCATTAATACGAAAAAAGGAACTAAACTAGCAATCATTAGAAAATCTCAAGCTCACAAATCAAGAATAGAACACATGCGACACAACAAACTACAGCAGGAATTTCATACCCGAGTAAAGTGAACTGAACAAACCGAAGCCTCAAGTCACTATTCAAACACATGCATCACAAAGTACAAGAATACCTCAACAAAATTGTAACTTTATATGCAATAACAACTCAATAGCAACAAATAACAAACAAGATCCACAAGAATTCAGAAGTCAAACAAACAACAGCAGCAGCAGCAGCAACAAAGAAAATAAACAAAGGGGAATAAAGAAAGCTTCCATAAGTCCTAGCACAGTGTTCTAATGTCCCAAAACAAACCAAACCGCAGAAAACCATAACATAAGAACACAAGAGCTCAAACCAAAATAAAACTCAGGCTCCAAAAAACATATAAAATGCGAAGAACATGAAACCCTATTCCCAAATAAAAACCTTTAACATCACAACACAAAATGCATGTTCTCAAACACACAAAACAAAAGGAAATTCATACACCAAATGATTGACAACAAAACACCAGAGGAGCATCCCAAGGCAAAAACTTTCGAACAACCCAATCAACAAATCAGTCAATTTCACAGACCTTACATCGAACGCGTCAATAGAAAAAAAAATTCATAAAAACACACGGCTAAGACTCACGCTTTTCAGCATCCCAAGTACCGACAACACGAAAACTTCATAAACCCTTATCATTTCTGGTATACAGACCAAAAATCAAGAGCGAAAAAAATCTAAAAACAAGCGGCAAATACACAATCTCGAAGCACCAAAGACACGAAATTTATAAAAAACCCTTTTCCTCAAATGAAACTTTACACCGTATCAATATAATTGCATACCTAGGGATGAGAATCAGCAACCCACGGCAGTAAAAGTCGACGGCACAGACACAAACCCTAAAACTTTAAATTTCACTCTAGCAGCTAGAGTGGGGTTTTTTTTCAATAAAATTATAAGGGGAATACTGAGTGCAAATATAAAGAGAGAGCAAATGAAGAAGGAAGGTTCTTTGAAGAACACAATGGAAATGGAAATGACAGATGAAAGAAAATGAAAAAATAAAAAAGAAATGGTAGAGAATAAACAGTAGGGGGAGTGGGAAAGGGGAAAGAGGAAGCGGTAAACCGGTGGCGGGGGCGGGCCGGATTTCATCATTTGGGATAGGAATTTCTTGGCTTTTTTTGAGTTTACAGTTAATTGCAACATAACCACTTTTAACTTTAGCTAAATGTAAACTTAACCCTTAATAGGTCAATTTATCCAATTGATGCATGATTGATTCGTTTAATACTCCTGTAATATTGTACTCTTGCAATCCTACAATACATTAAAAGTCAAGGCTCCGTTTAGTAGCTTTTTTCAATGATTTTTTTTAGAATTTAACATTGATAAATATCTCATCTCAGCATATCTTTTCACATTTTTAATACATCTCTTTATATTTTCAATTAGAGAAACACCTCAAAATACATACTAGAAATACGATCTAAATATTTCCCAATTTTCTCATTGCTTTTTTCCTCTAAAGAAAGAGTGATACATTTTAATGCTATTATTATAATGATGATGCATACTTCAATCTTTTTTACCAGTGATTACAAATTAATGGAAAATTTTAAGTATGTAAATTTTGGGTCTTTTCCCTAAAAAATTTAATTAAAACAAAGGTGGACAAATTTAAATTTTTCAGAATATTTGTGGACATGAATATATCCCACGGATTTCCGAAATCCGAGTTATATTTAAAATTGAGAACTCGGATTTCCGAAATCCGAGTTTACCTCGGATTCGGATAATTAGTTTTAGTTTTAATTAAAATGAATTCGGATTTTCAAAATCCGTTTTCTATTAAATTCGGATTTCCGAAATCCGAGTTTACCTCGGATTCGGATTTTTGAAATCCGAAGGATATAGATTTGTCCACAAAAATTTCAAAAAAATTAATTTGGTCTACCTTTTTTTAAAGAAAATTGTTTAGGTCAAAAACTACAATTTTATACAGCAGTTTGTTAAATGATCAAAGTTGGAGGAGTTGAGTATAAGTAAGTTATAAAATGAGAGGGGTGATCTCATAAATCTCATCCGCAACCAGCCTAAATTGTCACTTTCCACCGCATATTTAAATGCGATCCGGTCATCACACCGCACCATTTCGGTCGTCGGTCGTATGCATGTGATGTCTGTTTACATATATATCCTCTTCTCTCTGCAATTTCTTGGATTTAATTTTTTATATTCACTTGCGTCAATATAACGTGTGGTAAAAATAGTAGTAGTATATTATTGTTTAGTTAAAATAATATAATAAAATATTTTTTTCCCCATATACACTACGGGAGTTGGTACAAACTTAGGGAAGGTAACTATAGAACGGTTTGATTTTACCAATATACTAATTAATCCAGTTCAAGATATAAGACACTTTGGAAGTTGTACGTAAAAGAAGATAACTATTTAGTAATTAATTTATCTATCAAATATCTATTTTATCCATTATTAATTGTTTTAGAACTATAACCAAAATTATAAGAAAAGTTGTTAACATTATTTATTGGGGACAAAGTTTAGAATTTCATTATTAATGTGCTTTGAAATTTTAAAACGACCGATATTTTGAAATATTTCTCAAAATCTAAAACGACCTACATTTTGAAATGGAGGGATTAGTACATAGTACTAGTAGTATAATATATGCCAATGCCATGATGATGAGGATTTAGTGTTATTAATGTTGGATCATGCAGAATTAAACCCCCAAAATTACATTAAAGTGTTAAACTCATCAAATAAAAATGCTGCATAATCCAAGTTACGAGGTTAGATTTGTGTCATGGTAGCATTTGTCACCGTTGAGTATGAGAAAAGGGGTAACCATAGCAATTAGGACTAAAGTATACGTAAAAATGAAGGAGACAGGAGTGGATTGATTTGTTGTGGTAGTATTAAGGAAAGTTTTAATGCGCAACTAATTAAAGAAAAGGTAATGATTGGTAAAGGAAAAATTACAATTACAAAGAAATGATTTCATTCATCCATTTTAAAAATTTTTCATATGAGATTTAAGTATTTAAGGTCAGGGCCGAGTTTAAATGTTTGATACGTTGTTTCTTGTAAATTTTCTTTGTTATTTTTTCTCTGTAAGTATTACTAGTCTTAAAGAAATATTGTATGGAGAGAACACGTGGCATCTGTGAGTGTGTGAGTGTGTGGGGGTATTCCTCAATAGTGGTTGATTGATTTGATTCATAAGGATAAGCCCTTTATAGATCTTTTCTTCTTTTGACTTTTCCACTTTTTGACGAAATTAATTGCGTAGTTTTTAAAATACTTGGAATTGTTAGACAAGACTAATTAAAGCATGTTAGTCCCCCCACCTCACGTAATGGACTTTTCTTTTTGATACTCGTTTCGATTTTTAATATAAAGTATTTTAATTTTATCCTAAATTTCACGTAGTACGTATTTTTAATCAATAAAAAAACTTTAACAATATATTTTCACGTTCATTATATTCTCTTGATTGTTATAAAATATTTTTTTTGATATTTTTGTCAATTAAAAAATACGTACTAGATTAAATTCAGGATAAATCAAAATGCCTTATATTAAGAACCGGAGTGAGTATTTTGTTCCTTTTTTCCCAACAAAATATACAGAGCGTTACTCATTTTTAGGTGGTCAACACTATACTGTATACTTTTTTTTCCCACAATAGCCCCTATTGCAATAAGGCAATAACCCATAAACACCCCCAAAATAAACGAAAATGGTCAAAGACGTATGTGAAAAAAAAATAAAAAAATCTAGTACTAAAGTAATCCAGTTACGAATTTATCAATAATAGAATTAATTGAGGATCACAAAGTGTAAAGATGTAAACAAATGTTCGTTCCTACTTATTACACAACTGACTGGACATTTATTATAGGGACCCAGTTGGTGGAGTTTGGAATACTCGTCAAAGAAGTGCAGAAATTTTCCTTTTTCTCTGATAAAAGAAACTTGCTCCTCAAGGTTTTTCTTTTTCTTTTTTTCTTTTTTTTTTGTAATCTTTTCATTTGCTTGCTTTGAATGTTCCACCAAACTTTTTACTCCTACTAGTAGCAATCTTCTGTCAAACATAAATGAATAAAAATAGTAGGACGTGGGAGTCAAGAAAAATGGATTAATCGGTCAAAGGTTGTAAGTTCCCAGAATCTTGTTCGGTCGGGAGGTGATTATTTCCCCAATAGTACTCCACCCGTTCCAAAATAAGAGTCATTCTAGAGTTTGTATACAGTTTAAGAAAACATTAAATAAGGTAACTAAATTATTAGAATATTTTCAACCAACCCCATTAAAATAAATGCTTACCAATAATATTATTTTTTTTGAGGATATGTTTGAAAATTTTTGACAAAAAATGCATTGAAATCTGAAAACGACACTTATTTTAGAATTTCTACATTTTGTCAAAACGACACTTATTTTTGGAATAGAGGGAGTACCACTACTATTATCCAAAACATTAATGTAAAGTAGGGAGTCCACCATACTCCAAGCGGGCACCACAAGTAGGCGTAGACGTAATTCATTCCATGGTATGAAATGTTTTGACCAAATATAATGTTAACAAGCTATTACTCCGACGTTTGTCAAAGTCACCTTATCCTCATATCTCAAAACCAATAAACTATGAGTGGATTGACCTTTAGCATTTATAAACAGATAACAGATCTTTCACAACAACGATGTAGGATTCTTTGTCTCAATAATTGTCTCAAAAGAATTTTTGAAATTTAGATTTTTATTTTTATTTCAAATTATAATGAAAGTGAAAATAAAAAATCACTCAATGATTTCGGGACAGAGAGAGTAATATTTTGTTTGCAAGAAGGACCACCTTATTTGTTGGTTAGACCGTTAGAGAATTCAGAATAAAATACTACTACGAATTTTGTATCCTAAGGGATTTTCTAAAACTTCTCTTGTCTTGCTTACAAGACATTCAGATGTCTTTAAAATTTTATTTATCGTATTTTTTTTTAAATTCATCCATTCTTTAATTTTTCTAAATATCAATAACAACCAACTTTTTGAAACTTAGAAGATAATATTTTAATCAAGATACAATACGGATAATTTAATCTAATTTTGAGATAAATAGCTAAAAAAAAATGTTTTTATCATTTTGACAGTATAGTTATTTATGCCTTATACGCATAAGAAGATCAAAGACACAATATATTTTATCATGGGAATGTACTAGGTATTAGACCCGTCCGATGGACGGGGAAGACATACACATATAGATAATACAACACAAGCAAAGGAAAAAATATTAATATTTTTATAGATTTTGTATTTTTATAAAATGTATGATGACTTCATTGAAAAATATAAAACACAAACATCAACAACACTTTACTAAATGAGTATGGTGATAATTGCTTTAACGTAAAGAGCATTGTTAAGAAATCCAAAAAAGAAAATATAGAAAAACGAAAAAGAATGAATTTCGAGTTGAATGATTATGGTCTTGGCAAATGATTAAAAATACTGCATCTTTTATTAATCATCGTATTTTTGTGAATTGATTAAAGTTGATAGAGATGAGGTCTATGAAGTTCATAATCTTGCATATAATAAATGCAATGTAATTGAATAGGAAGTTATCAATATTAACGGTACCATTTCCAAAAAAATAAAAATAAAAAAATTACTTATGTGCCTAATTAGGTCTTTGGCACCGCTACAGAAAATCTTAATCTTGTAGCTAATTATCCCATTATTTACCTTAGTTATTGGTAGAGTAGTTTTAAAATTTTTTATCAGGCCGACTTTTGAGGAGCCTTGATTTTACCCTTCAAGGTGCTTTAGTCACTTTCAAAATAATTTTAAAATTTTCAGCCAACTCATACTTAATTGAGCTAAAATTACTCATATAGCTAAAATTACTCGTCCCGGCTTGTATCCTCCATCATCTTCAAAGAACATCAGATCCCTTATCAATATGGGTTATTGGAAGCTGCATCAGCCATCATCATGAAGCAGCTAGCGCTCCTAACATTGAGTTGGGCTGTAATGAGTTTATCAAATTTATTATAGCAAATCAATGAATTGAGCTAAACATGAGATGAACACACACGAGACTGAAGCGTTGAGCTAACGAAAACAAAACTCACCAACCTCAGAGAGACTAATTGGAAATGAAACATGAAAATGCTCTACGGCGGTACAATTCCGAAACAAAGGTAGCAGCATTTGAAGAAAAATTAGCACGATCAATCATTGGCTTATCCATACAATCAAACATCAAATCTCATGTTACTAACTCAGGAGCTGCAAGTTACAAATGGTGCACATTCCCGACTCTGTACACAATCATAATACAGTTCCAAGTACAACTCCATCGATTATGTAACCCTAAAAGCTGCAAAGTTCTGAGCCTCCATTAGGTGTGCCAAAGTACCCTTAGACTTAGGCCATGGCTTTTGGTAGCTTTGTACATATTTAAAAACTTCAGGACAACTCTCGTTCTCAGATCTTCATAGCTAATTGTCGGATCATTGGTGTGTAACTTCGAAGGGAGAACTACGCCCCCAAGAAAGTAATAAGATTTGAAGATTTTCACAACAAATTGAATATTATGATTCCGAATCGAATCTTATTGGTGGGGAAGGAAGCCAAGGCATGGTTTCTTAGTTGTGTCCCACAATCTTATTAATCTGCTTTCAATTAATGGTTTTAGAAGCCAAAACCATAAATCGCCACAATAACCAAAGTTTGGATCTTTTTCCCTTCAGACAAACACGGTTCTTCCCAACCAATAATCAAATTACTATAATAAAAGAACAACCCAAATAAGAGGAGAGAGAAAAAGTGATAATCTCATTATGCATTACCTCAAAGAAGATGGGGAGCCTGAGAGAAATGCAGCGAGAGGCTAAAGAAATAGTTATGCAGCGAGAGGCTAAAGAAATAGTTATGGGAAAGTCAGTTAAACTCGTAATCTCCAAGCAATGTATATAAAGATACATAGCAGCATAGATCCATCTCTATTTGAACCACTTACTGGAGATCCTTAAGTTAGATATCGAGGATTTTCGCGGTTAGGCCATTGCTAGCTGTATTTGTATTCGATCGTCCCGATTCCAACTGCTTCACCCATGACGTCTCAGGTAAAAATAAAATAAAATTTTTTAAAAAATTTCATGTGAAAGAACTTGAAATCAACAAAGTAGCCAAAAAAAAAAAACATGTCCACATATAAAGCGAATCAAGCACTTTTGACTATCACAATTAATCCAGCAATCTTGCGTCAACTTACCAATGAAATACATCGTGTCAGGAAGACTGTTCAAGATACCACTGAACCTGGCAAATTCAACCCCGTGTACGGGAGAGCTTCGTCGACATGGCCATGCTCAATCAGGGTATTGGAGAAGAATTTGATTTTATACTCGTGTTTCTTGGTCCCCTGCAACAATATAACCAGAACTGTAAAAGGTATCAAAGGCTTTACGATTCAAATAATATTAGCAAAACTCAAGACGGATAAATTGGATCACGAATTGAACCTCTTTCTATTACAATTTTGTGAATTTAAAGCTTCAAATGCATAGCATACTTCACCTTTTTCAGTCACATTCTCGTCAATCTTCACAGACAACAAACCCCATGGAGATTGCAAACTGTTTTTAAAACCTATGTTTTCTAATTCCCTAATCGTTCTCATGTTGTCGCCGTTGCGCTGTACTCCATTCTTGTGGCTTTTTCTCCGATATTGATCTTCCGCTGCACTAAATATAACCAACCTGGGTAAATATTGTTGAGGAATCAATATCTAAAAGTGATTTGTTGGATTTTGAATGGATGAGATTCACAATTAAATACTAAAACTGGTATGAGAGATTGCTGGGATTTTATTTTGTAATCTTTGATTGCAAACCGTCGGAGATTTGTTTGTGAATAATATTTGAATTCTAAACCGTGTGTGAATAATATTTATTTTTAGCTATTTTTTTAACCAAAAAAATTAGAAAATTGACACATAAGATTAAATCCTATGTGACATAGGGAGATTGCCTTAGGTTTTCTCTCTTTGATTTTTATCTTAGTATAGTATATAGAAGATAGATAGATAAATAGATGCGAAGGAACATAATTTGCATTGAATCACTCTTTTATTTTTAAGTTCATTATATATGATCCCTTCAATAAGTTTCGAACACACATGTATAGAGTTTTTGACCTAAACAATTTTCTTTAAAAAAAGGTAGACCAAATTAATTTTTTTGAAATTTTTGTGGACAAATCTATATCCTTCGGATTTCAAAAATCCGAATCCGAGGTAAACTCGGATTTCGGAAATCCGAATTTAATAGAAAACGGATTTTGAAAATCCGAATTCATTTTAATTAAAACTAAAACTAATTATCCGAATCCGAGGTAAACTCGGATTTCGGAAATCCGAGTTCTCAATTTTAATTATAACTCGGATTTCGGAAATCCGTGGGATATATTCATGTCCACAAATATTCTGAAAAATTTAAATTTGTCCACCTTTGTTTTAATTAAATTTTTTAGGGAAAAGACCCCACATGTATATTAGAGGAGAAAAGAAAGTGTTTTCCAAAAGTCCGATTCAATAATTTGTTGACACGGGAAACTGAAAATACGGTTTATTGCTCCGTCGGCTTTTATTGTTCCAAATTCCAAATCGACGACTGATCCTGTAATGGTCAGACGCAAGTGTAAATTTTGATGTACTTTCACGATACGAGAAGATACAATATAAATGAAGCACACATGTATGTGTGTGGTTGGTCTTCGTTTAAAATCACAGAGAAAGCTAATCAAGTCACAACAAATGTATAATATATACTCCCTCCGTCCCATAATTATTATCCACTTTGCCCAAAAAATTTTGTTCTAAAATTATTGTCCAATTTGACTTTTTATGTATTAAGTTACACATTTGTCCTTAGTAAAAAATATTATTCATAAAATATTAGTGGTTAAACAATTACTTATGTAAGGGTATATCCGGTTGTTTAAGGTAAAATATAGTTAAATTTGACCAAAAATAAAATCTTTTATTTTAGTAAAACTGGACAATAATTATGGGACGGAAGGAGTACTATATTGTTTTGTCAATGCATGGGATAAAATTTGTTTTGGATTTGGGATCAAAGATTCAAAATTGTTGTTTTTATCTCCGCAAATGTGATGTAAACATCAATGATGAATGAAGTTGAGAACAAAAAATACTTCCTCCGTTCCAAAATTATTGTTCGGTTTGGGTTTTTATTTTTAGTTCAAATTGTATTAAAAAAAAAATCCGACTTGAGGAAGAAAAATGAAAGGAATTTGACACAAAAAAAAACATTTTGAATTAGGAAAGAGTGATATAGTCAAATGGTTTGTTAATACCTCCCCAATCATAGTTTATTTTCGCAAAAATCAAAATGGGTTCCAAAGAGTCTTGTTTTAGGGAAAATGGTAGACTCTTGACGTCCATCAGTCTGGAAATTTGCCTCATTTTTTCCAAACCACAATTTAACTTTCATATTTCAGTTTGCTGGGCTGATTGACAAAATATGGCAAATTCTTAAGCTCAAAGCTTTTTTTTTTTACCCTTTTTTAGCCCAATTGTGTTTGATAACGTAGAGGAGAGAGTAGGATTACTTTCCCTCAAGATCTTGCCGGTAATAGGACTAGGAGTAATACTCCTGCCATTTGGTTTGTAATACTCCCCCGTCCCATAATTATTATTCAGTTTGAGTTTTCATTTCTAACTCAAATTGTACTAAAAATAAATTCTCAAACTGGATTATAATTTTGGAATAGAGGGAATAAATACCAAAAAAAAGCCATGAGAAAACAATAATAAGTGCTATACAAAATCAGAAACACTTGCGCATACATAATAAACAAGAGATTCCATGATTCTTTCAAAGGTCAAAAAATGGGGAAGAATTCAAACCCCCAAGATAAAAAACTACAAAAATTTACAATCCAATGTCACTACCAAAACTACAACCAATGGATCATGTCATACTCCCAGACTAAACTTAACACCATCAACAAATTACCCCAATACCATACCAACAACTACATGTATATTGTAACTAAGATCTTATTTGTACCAAACCCAACCCCATTTACAGAAACAACTGACTGCCACCCTATCGACTTCCCCCTAAATTTTACACTAATTCCTAATTTTTACTCCCATAGGTCATACCTTCTTTTTTACATGACTTTTTGTGTTCATAATGCTGAGGGAAAAAAAGAAAACAGTTATGAGACGCACTTTTCTAAAGCCACATGTCTTCTACTCTGCTACTTCTTGCTGTTACGTACTCACAGAAGCCGGCAAACCTCAGACTGTTGTTTGAACTGTGGCTTCACTTGTTGCTGAGACCAGTAAGCATGGGCAGTGAGGACTCTGTCCAACAGCTCCTGGGGTACTGGTTCGCCTCTCCTTTGCTGAGGAGAGATTCTAGCCGTGTGCACCAAGGTCTTCCACTTATCCTGCAGGATGAATCAAGGCAACAATATTAAAAAGAGGGACAAAAAGAATCCATGCCAGAGCAACGTAAAAATAGCACGCAGCTTAACACAACGCCATCTAACCTTCAAATCAACATAGGTTCTATGCTTGGCGTTATCAAAAGCACGCAGCTTAACATCACGCCATCTGCAGCGAAAGAAACCAAACTTGAGAACAGAGCAAAAGAAGCAAAAAAGAAGACAACAGCTCAGGCCCAGATGAAAATGTCAAAGAAACAAGCTATCATCATGATAACAGCCCCAAAGGAAGCCAACTAGAAACACAGACCGAAAGACAATAGGGTCGTGCCCAGGAGCATAGTGTCAAAGAAAAACACGTAGCCAAGATGATAATATGCCGATCCCAGATTCAAAAACTCAAGTAGCACTTTGATATAACGGTAGCAAAAGCATCTTGTTATATGCTGCTAGAGTTAAGATTAGGTAAGATGGCTCATTTCAGCATACTATAAATTAGCCCACTATTGTAATATTACGCACCTTCCTGTCCCAAGCTTCTCAACAGCTTGGACTAAAGCTTCCACTTCAGAAACAGAGAATGGTCGACGAATACGACGCTGTGCTGCAGCCGAATCTGATCTTTTAGACTTCCGCATCGGCACAGCACTCAAAGCTTCCACATTCATTGCTGGAATAGGAACTAGTGCTCTGGTATCAACAGCATTTTTCTCTGTTGACATCTCAGGAGGGGAGGGTGCTGAATCATGGTCACTTTCAATTAGGTTGTTGAAATCTCCAGGGCGGGGATCTGGGAAGGCATCAGAAATCCCCTGAACCTCCATAGTGTCAGTCAGGCTAGGAACAGCAGGATACCTGACGCAAGCATACTCATCAGAATCAAGAAAAGACAAGAGTCATCCTGAGATAGAAAATAATAAAGGAAACAATAGATGGACTGTCATCCACAAGCATCAAATTAGTAAATAACCACAAGAATTGGAATAAGTGAAGGTCCATAATGGGACAGAGCAGTAAAAAGTGAGGATTCATTGGAGATGGCTAGTATTAGTACAAAATGTTCAAAAGGTGCACTGGTTATTTTGATTGGGGTAAATATAGAAAACTACCAAGATAAAACCTGATACAAAAAAGCACATATGTGAATGCCAGACAGGGTTTTGTTGAACAACTTCAGTACCTTGAAAGCAGTTTTGAACCATCACAGGGAATCAGAAATGGATGATGATCTTCAGAAGGTAAAGATGAGGAAGCTTGAGAAAGGTTTGGCTCCAGGGAAAAGCCCAGAGCATCTAGCTTGTTTTCATGACATATTCCAGTCTGGAATAAAGTTTTGCTATCATCCCTAATCTTCTTACCCTGAAGAAGCACACCAACATGTAATCCACCACCAAGTATTGCTGTAACTGCCTCCATAACTGTTTTCTGATCATTAAAGCAACATATATTAGGCAAGATCCAACTCCCGTGAAGGTAAAAATATAAAAAGAAATAAAGATGTTCTCTCTGGTGGTGCATGAACTTCTGTGACACAATTAAAAATTGAAAGCGTATAAAAGATTAATTTGAAATGCATATTTTTTTTAATATTTATCATAACAAACCTGATATTGTATTTGAAGGGAATAATTCAAACAGGAAAGTAATTTATCACAAGGCCACTAGGATAAAATCTCGAGAATAGACATTAATTACCTTCAACGAACCAACCGTTGCTGTTTCTGGAATCTCTATGAAAAATTCTGGAACTCTGAAGGACTTGATCTTTAGCTTAACTGCAAAATATGCAAAACAGAAAAAATTAAAAAAATTAAAAAGAAAAAACAAAACCGAAGTAAGCAAGAAGCTGAATGCCAGGGAGTTTTCAAGCAAAGAAATACGTTACTCTAAGAATTGATACCTTGGGAATCCTTAGACTGGAGGAATTCGGGCTCACTGGCTTCTAAATTTGATGCCCCAGATACTGTAGAACATTAATTTCATGTAAATGTATCTTAATCAGAATCAGAAATTAGTTAATGCACGAGTAAATGAGACTTCATATGTCTGATTAAGCACCTCTTGGCAACATTGAAGCAGGAGTATCTCTATTGGAAACTTTCCCTCGTGAATTATAGATTCCATCAGTCCGGAAGTCTCCATCAGAATTGGATAATGAGCTGCAATGATGATACAGTTTCCTCTTCTTGAAGGGGAAATCCCTCTGAGATCTTTGACGCTTAAAAGCATTACTCCCATTATAATATACATTCTTTCTTCCAGCATCTGGCAAAGTCAATGCAACAGGAAATATACATAGCGTGAGTTGCATGCATAGTGTAAGTGGTTCATAAAACGTCCAAAATGACAAGAGCGACAAACTCACCAGCTTTGAAGTGTTCTTCTTCCCTTGAATTTGGAGTTAATTTCCAATATTTAGATGCCAATAACTTGCGAATTCTGCGATCACTAATTCGGGAAGATGGCCTCAAGGACTTGTTAATGGTGCTACTAGGCTTTGTGCACCCAGAAGAAAATTTTTCGTCATCATCTCTATTAACTAAATTTACATTCTCGCCATTACAAGGGAGAGAATTGCTGGGAAGGATTTGGTCACGGGGCAGGGCTTCTACACTGTTATCCGAACTTATGAGATAAGAGGGTTTTCTCTCCCAACCTGTCCGGTGTTCACTGTTGTCGCTTTTGACATCATCCATAGCAGAAATTGCCAACTTCAAATCATTTGGCTCGACTTTTATTTCTCTCTTGCTTTCACCCTCAAATTTACAAGCAGGAGAGACCCTGCACCCAAACAGTTCGATGTCTGCACTTCCAGAAAAGGTCCCACTTTCAAACTTGCATTCAGTATTTACTGCGTGTTCGCGTTCAGCACATCCAACCTTTTCTGAGCAGTCAGAAGTTGAAGTTGTTATAGCAGACAACGGTCCTGAAGAAGTAATATCATTTTGAGTCTGAGGAAAGTCCTTTTTACCCTCACCATTCAACTTTGGCGCTTGTAGGACTAGCTCAGAAACAATGAAACTCCTATCACAATTATTCTGACTAGTATTGCAAACTTCTGTCAGGTTCTGATCATCTTGACCTTGCTTTTCTTTTTCTTCCTCCCCAAATGAATCTTTGACAATTTCAGGTTCCTCCTCCCTGTGACAACCACCCATATCAGGCAAACTAGGCAACTTTTCCCCCTCGAGCAAAATCTTGCCAGCTAGCGTAGCCAACAAATCAAATGCACAAAATTGGCCGTTGTTGTCTTTTCTCGTGTTAATGCCCCTTCTCTACAGTTATTGGCAATGAAACACGACAGGAATTAGTAGATAGCATGACACGTGTAAGATACATAAAAAGAACCCTGAAATGAATGTAAAAAATGGTATTATACCCTGGCAGATCTTGCTGCTCGAGGCGTGGGAGGCACCTGATAACCATGAAATCCATACTCTATCCTTTTATGCAATTCCATATTTTAGAAACCATATCAAGGGGAACACAGCAAACATAATAAGGCTAATGCACTTTCAGAAATGCTGTGGCAGTCCAGAACATGACATAATAGCAGTGAACCTATAGATTATACTTCCAAAATTCGAAATCTAATATGCCCTACAGAGAAAACAAATTCAGGGGTTAAAAAGTACTCCAAAAACTATTATGAAATAATTTGCACTAGCTTCACACAACCAAATTATAAGAGAAATTATTCGTACTAATGAACAATTACAAACAATACACCAGTCAAAGATAATAGGTTCACAATTCCAATTCTCTTTTCAAAAGAAATAACCAATCAAATAAACATCCCAGCCAACCTGATGATGGGAATCAGATCACAAGTTCATGACATAGAAACCACCACTTAGCTTCTAAAAAGGTAAGCTCTAAACAACCAAAATGGAGAGAATCCACATTTGCTGAATGAAGTTCTTACAGAAGAAACCGACACGTCGGGTAAAAGTATTGTTTTGGGTGGGGGGGAAGGACATAAATCAAATGGAAACATAACATAATATACAGAGGACTTTCTTCAAAGCCAGCATTTTTAACATTGTTTGGCCAAACAGAAAAAGAGGAGTTCCTAATATCAACAACTCGAGCAGATCTTTGGGATCAAATCCAGTAACCATTTTTTCCAGGAGACCAAGATAGTTAATTCAAACGTTCAAAACATATACAATTCTCAGAATCAAAAACACAATTACCGCGAAGAAATGCATCAAATTCATAAAGAAGGGATTTGAAAAAGTAAACCCTTCCAAAACCCTGAAACGAATCTGAAGCAAACCATACTTTACTCAAATGATCTAAAGGAAAAGGGACCAGATCAAGCAAGATGATATACCCTTTAGAAAATTCAGTAGCTTTTTCAGAAAAATCTAATTTCGGATGGATCGCCTTGAATCTTCCATGGCAGATAAGAGAAAAACTTTTTCCGACCATGAAAAACTTTAAATTTACACATAGCGGTAACAAACCAGATCAAATCCACGAGCATACAAAAAAGAAGTGAAAAAAAAAAACAAAACAAAAACGGAATTTTACTCAGAAAAATAATGAAAAAGGACGGAGGGAACTCGGTAACTGGGGATCAAGAATCTTTCTCCAAAACAGATGAAACATTTCTCCTTTTATTTGAAATCGAGATGACGGGCCCTTCATTTCAAGAAAAACATGAAATTCAAGGCCAAAAAAACAAGCTTTAAACTGTTTATGGGAGACAATCAAACCAAGTGGTCCAGAACCCAAAAAAAATTCAAACTTTATCAAAAGGGCACACCGTAAAGAAGCAGAGCATTTCCATGGATTCCGCCGTATCTCACCTTAAAGATTGAAAAAGGAAGAAAGGGCCGAATTATACCGCCAAATTTACCACCATTTCCCCCTCCAACACCCACATGCTGCAAACCATTAAAAGTCCTTCACAACAAAAATTTAAGCCCCAAAAAACCTCCAAGATCCGAAATTTCCAAACCCAAAGAACCGAAAAAACAAAAACTATAACCACCCCATTTGATCAACCAACCAAATTATCTCCAAACCCATCTTCTTGTCTGCACAAACAGAGTTTGTTCAAAACACAAGCATTCTGCCTAATAGACGCAACCCCCTTGGCTTTGTTTTCTTGAATTATTTTTTTCCCCTTCAAAAATTATTGTCAAATCTGCTTGTTTTTTTCTCTTCCTCTCTTTTGATATCCTTTTTTCAGGCCAAAAACCCTCTGAAAACCACTCAAAACCAATTGCTTAAACCCCAGCTCTTATACAGAATTGACCCCTGTTACCGGTTCTATCGGTACACGGCCATAATGTCCACCGCCTATATCCAGTTTTGTTCTCACGAACCACCTAAAGACCGGTTCCTTTGGGGGCCCAAACCCATGCCATGTTTAGGCCTTCAGATCCTGCCACGTGGAGAGATAGCAACATCGTGTGGACACCGCTGGTTTGCATGATCGAGAAAAACGTTGGGTCACCAAGCGAGGGAATTTTCTTCAATTTGTGCGCCCTTTTCTTTTTTTATGTTTTTCATTTCGAAAAATAAATTCTATTACTGTTAGTGAAATTACAGTTTTTTTTTTGGAATTTTAATTTTTGCAAAATAATTATAATTCATAAATGTTTTGAGTGGTCAAGCGGTTTTTGAAAGGGTTATAACTAATATCCACCAGTCTTTCTGGATTTACCAAATTCATGCCTAACCAAGAACACATGAGGTGGTATACATTTTATTTTATTGTTAGTACAATAATATTGTTATTATATTATTTAGTTTCATGAAACTAATTAAAGAATGTGGTGTGATGAGTTCTTGTAGTTAAGATCATATTAAAACACTAGTGAGCTTAATTAATACAGGGCTGAATCAAAGTATACATGAATTTCATGTCTTCTACATTGGATTTAAATTAAGTGCAACTTTTGTTTTATATAATACTGAATTTTAAAACTGCGTACTGACGGAGGCCATCAATTGATTCAATTGAACTATGATGTATCATGGTCTTCTTTTTTGTAGATAGTAATTATTGTTTAATGCGGAATTGTTATTATTCTCTTATTGGAAGGATTACTATATGAAGTTCTGTTAATTATAATCTCTTCCTACTAATCAACAAATTCATTAGCAAAACTACTGACATGAAAAAAGTGATAGTTCTAACTTACAAGGTAAGAATACTTTTATAAATTAAAGTTATATATAAAAAAAAAAAATTGCATGTTTACTTCCATGTGAGAGTAGATCTCCATCCACGAAATTTTGCATTATTCCTCTATTATTAAGGAATGATTAATTAGAATAATAATAATAATTGTGATATTTCCTTTCAATGGGAATATTGCTCACAGATTCATCAGATCAGATCGAAAATAAACTAATCGCAACAGGTCACTTCCGTCATTTGACTCAAAACAAATAAAAGAAGGAAAATTATTTTGAGAAAAAAAAAAAAGAAGCCATGATAATCATTTGCAAAATTTTGAACCAAAAAAAGTCATTGTTAGGCCTACGGGTTTTAAATCACCTGCCACGCTGGACAGTGACGCCATCCTACGTGGCATCACGGCATCCCCCCCCTACGGAGGCGCTTTTTGCTATGTATTATCCCTCCAAAAATTTTCATTTTAAACAGAAAAAGAAATTGACAAAGGAAAGAGAGAAACAAACTGGAGTGACGGCGATAAGGTGACGTGGCGAGCGGCAAAGCCAAAGATAAATAACGGCGTCAGAGGACGGAAGTGTGAGTGGGTCCCACGAGTCTTTTTCTCGTCTTTTTTACTCTTTTTGGGGCTAGAAAATAGGCTTCGAACATGACGCCTACCCATAAGGACGACTGCAGTTTTTAATTTTTCAGTAAAAATAATTAAAAGTATCAAAAATAAAAAACAAAAAACATGTGGGGAGTTTGTGTTGTGTGACAGTTACAATAACGTCAATCCAAACAATTTTTTTTTAATGAAAATAAAAATTATTTTGAGATTGGAGAAAATTAAGGGTAGCCAATAGGGGTTAAAGGATTATTAGTGGAGTAAGGAAAATAGAGTTTGGAAATGGAGAAATTAACAAGACATTAGGAGGTAAACTAGGGAGTGAGGTTAAAAAAAAAAGAGTGAAAAACTGCATGAGTTCGATTTAGTAGGCGGATTTTAGATCAAAAAAAAAAAAAAAAAAAAACACACTCCCAGACACTTGGTCGGAAAAGGTGTGGATAAGTTGGGATTTCCCTTATCCCCCCAAAGAGTTTTTTGAGTGGATAATGCAGTTTGGACAAGAAAAAAAAAATTTAATAGGGCTTTCATTAATTCAAGGAAAAAAAGTGGAGAGTTGGAGAAGGAGGTTTCTTTGTGTTGTTACAGTTTGTTGAGAGTTTTTGTTAAGGGTTTTCTTTTGTTGGTGGAACTCTCTACCTCTAAATTTGTTGTCTTTGTCTTCGGATTAACTAACATAACATCGTCAGTTCATGTGTCTCATTTTTTGTACTAGTTTTTTTTTTTTTTTTTGGGGGAATCTTTATGAATTTTGTAGCACACTTGTAGAAAATGAATTTCTTTTGCATTATATAAGTCTCCCTCTTTCACGATAATATATAATCTAGTTTAAGTTGTTTGTAATTGTTATTACTCTCTTGTCTAAAATTATTGTACAGTTTAATAAATTTCACTTTTAATACAATTTAAACTATAAATGAGAATTCAAATTGGATAATAATTTCAAGACGAAATGAGTAATAATTTGGACCCAAAAGGCTACAAATGCAATTAAAAAAGTTGACGTAAATAAAGCTCGATGGGTCATGACTCCATTGTACATCGGTGGTAGACCCAAGTTTTTTGACAATCTATTGATCGGATGCCACACATAACATAAAAAGATGATGACATTGACATTCAATGATCAATAAAAGGTGATCCCCTCCAAATGGAAGAAATTGAATGTGATTTTGAAAACCGAACGCTACCAATTAAAGTCAAACATTTCGAATTCAAAACCTTAAAGCAATAGTAACTCTTCTCATTATCAACTCGTCACAAACTTTAACCCCTTTTGATAATTTGTCTGTCTAAAAACTATTGTCCAATTTGAATTTTTATTTTTTAGTATAAATTGAACTGAAAGTAAAAACTCAAATTGGATAATAATTTTGAGACAGAGAGAATACAATATTAATTGAGGAATTAAATCAAAGTCTAATAAAAGGAAAGGAAACTTATGTGAGTTACAAAATGTTGGTTAAAATACCTTGGACCCTACTAATTAAGATTAATCCTGCTGCACACACACAACTTCCTCGTCATCCATGTATATATGTATGGATGAATAGTGTTAATGTGTGCAGCAGATTGGTCTTAATGTAAAAAAAAAAAAAAAAAAGAGTAGGGTTAATGTAAACAAAGCTGGTTAGATCTTTGTAATCTATGCATGAGGTTGCAGCTGGCTGTTTCCTAACGTATTAAATTTATTTATTATATATTCAAATGATAAAATATCAGTTTCCAACTACGTGCAATGTCTAAAATGTAGACAATTAACTCATTTATAATTCCTTTTCAACCCACAAAAAAAAACTCTGATAAATAATTCATAAACAAATCAATGAAAAATGAAAATATCCAATAATTGCTGGATGGGAATGGGATGGCATGGCTGATGAAGCACAGAAAAGTTTGAGCAAAGTCTGGTTAGCAAACAGCAACATGGTGGTGTGCTGTGAAGATGTCTGAACACAGAAAGCTTATACAGAACAGAAAGAAAGCTTGGTTAAATTAAACTAAATCATCAATTAATACAAAACCAAAAAGGGATATCTGTCACCCAAGTGTGGGCTATAAATGGCCTTAAATTTTAGGAGCACATGACCCAACTGGTCTAGGATGACAACTGCTGTTAATAATAATAATGATAATAATAATAAATTTATTATTGGGTGCTGCCAATTGTTCTATTTATTCTAGCTGTCCGTCCGCCCAATAAAAAAGAAATAACTATTATGGAAAGAAAGGTGGAGTAATATTGTTTTATCACCTAGGCCCCTGTATGTGGTCCTTTTGGAAGTTTGATGTTAAGGTTTTTTCTGGGTCGTCTTAATTTTTTTTTATTCATTCAAAAGAAAAAAAAAGAAAAAAAGAAAGAAAGAAAGATGGGACGAACAATTTTTCTCCCAGAAAGTTTGGAGGGATTATATATATTTTTGGTCAATATATATATTAGAGGAACTGACAAAGGGGCATTAGTACATGTGCGGTGTATATGTATCCGTAGCACGTTATCTGCGGCGGATGCATACTATCATCCTTCTTCCTCGTTGCCAATTATTTATAGGCTACTGATCATTGGCTGTGGATTTTTTTTCCCCCGTTAGCGTTTCTCTTAGTCTAAGTGTGTGATTTTGTCTTACAGATAGAACTCATATATTAAGGCCATCGATGTATTTGATATCACCGCAAAAAAAATGCAATCAAAATCTTGATTTTCTTATTCAATTAATTAAACCACTGCTTGTTGTCACATAACAGGAAAAAAAAAAAAAAGATATATATTATCTCGTACTCATCCCCCATTGTGACATGTGAGCTTTGTATATGTGGATTATTTTTTGAGATAAATGAAATTGTATCTCTTACAAATCTATGCAATAATTTTTAACTAATGATAGTACATATGTGTACTGAAAGCTTCAATTCCAGGTTTTAAGTCCAAAGAAGTAGCAAGTCAACAAAGCGATGAAAACTACTAGCTAGTTCTTGAATCAAAGGAATATTGTGAGGCAGGTTTTTTTTAAGTTTACGTAACTCCGGAATGCATTACTAAAGCAGCATACATTTCTTGACGTAAAAGCAACATTCTATTCTTAGATGGAGCTCTTTTAAGCGTTACTCAACACCCCCTGGTTTGGGGCAAAATTCATTACTATAATTCGTCTGTCAATTGTTGCATCATTTAGAAGGTTCCATTAAAATAATTTATGTATTTGCAAAATTTGTATGTTGTTGTTGCAAGTGGATGCAGGAAAGAAACTTCAAATTCATTGGGACACTCGATTATTCTCTGAATTTGGCGAGGATGGAGCCTATACGAATATCAGACCAATGTACCTATAGTTTTACGCAATGGTATGATTATGTAGATTGTGGGGGTAGAATATTATCCGAATCCCCCTAATCCTTCAATGCATGAACCCCTAAGGTGTAATTTCCTGCACAAAATCATTATCGGAATCACAATTGAGCATAACACTGTAGATAAAAATCCTATTTTTATTTTTATTTTTTTTTGGTTCTTCTCCTCTGCACGAAGGTGGGGAGGGTTTAGCAATTACTTAGGTACGTTCTGATCGGCATTGGAAGAAAGAAAATCCCAATTCGCCAATTCCGATTTTGGAAGAAAATTAATCATATTCCCTTCTTTTACACACAAAAAAAAAAAAATCATATTCCCTTCTTTCATAAATGATTACAGGATTATTTTTAGTATTCTCTCCGGTCCTTAATATAAGGCATTTTGACTTTGTCTTAGGTTTTACCTAGTACCCATTTTTAATTGATAAAACTTTTTTAAAAACATTCCCTAACAATTACGAGAATACAAGGAATATGAAAATATAATTTTAAGTTTTTTTTGTCAATTAAAAATGTGCACTAGGTACAATTTAGAACAAATCAAAATGTGTTGTAGTATTAAAGAGTACTAACTAATCTGGGGAGATTCGTTTCAGAGACACCTTATTATGTATTCAAGGGAGACAACTCGATAGATTCATCTTTTTATGATAATGGACCATGTGTTTTAATTGTAAACTGATTGCTCTGTGTTCGTCCATTGTAATCTGCAATTTTTTTTTCCTTAACTTGCATGCTTGTTTTTTGCCGTTCTATGGCCTGCACAGAGTGTAGAGTTACTGATTATCTTCATCACGCTTCACGTATGTAATACTCCCCGTGTAGAAAAAATAATAAAAATAATACAAATAATAATTCACATGGAGTTTTGAGTGTAGTAAAAATTTGAAAATTCAATGTAAATTATTTTGTTGGATAGATGGAATATCAAATGGTTGTTCGATTTGATTGTAAGGCTATGATATTGTCTTCGAAATTTGCCTTGAAAAGAATGAACATTCATTGGATGCCCCCAGAAATTGGTGATCAGAAGGAATTCCTTCCAACAGGTGAGAAATTGGTGAGCGTATTTCCTGAGGAACAAGATTCTGAGACTGGATTGGAACTTGGGCCGGAACACATAAAAGTTTCGGCATCTCCATATCAGTGATGGCACAACAACAGCCATAGTGGTAGGTTAATACTAGTACTCAATACTCATGATAGATAGATTGATTAATTGGGTGTTGCGTAAGATAAATTAAGTATGACGAGATTGAGGATGTTGGATGTTGGAACCCCTTCTAATCAATGACGAACACTAACAAGCTCTCTTTTATTTTTCCCTGACTTGAAAAAAAAAGCAGTGGACATAGATGTGCTTTTGATCTTCATGTTCACGGTTGGTTGGATTGCAAATTAAGACAATGAAGCTCTTCAAATGCCAATTCATGCACATTTTTACATGCCTTTCTCATCAAGTAAATCTCGACTATGGTGACGGATAAGTAAGGGCAGAGTAAGTCTGTCACTTTCTTCAGCTCCCAAAAAAAAGGTAAACATACCATTAAAATACACATCCCCAAACAAAAAAAAAAAGACAGAATAAGCTGATATCACTAAGATTAAAAAAAATAATAATAATGATGATACAATGTACACACTCCACAAGCAAGTTAAATCTACATAACGGCAAAACTCGGGTCTGTAGCTGCAGAATCTAACAGCTGTAGATCTGATACCATCAACAAATTCATTCCTCAGATACATTGCTGTACTGCCAAGGATTGAACTCTGTTGCTAGGGGATCGCTGCCATCCTCAACGCTGTCCGAGGTATCAATAGCCGCCCGATGCTCGGAGTACTTCCCATTGTACTTGTACACTTCCAGGTCTCCCCATGGCGTTGGGGTAACTTCATCAGTCAAATCAAACCATCTAGGACTGAACTTATGGCCGTTTGCCTCTCGATTTCTCTTTTCTGCTCTTTGCCTTTCCTCCAAACTGAACCAACAAACAAATACAACGGCTTATTTTCAGCATGGATCAAACTCAGTTTAATAAACAGCACGCGCAACATTAGATCCTACGTCCCACATATATCATAACTGCTGATAAAGCATAAATGAAAGCGATCAGCTCACAAAATGATGACTCCACGACAAGCAAAAAATGATACTGCCCAAACAAGTGTTGCTAACAAGTCACGAAGTTCATGACCACTACGGAGAGGATACTCAGACAACAAATAATTTGAACCAGAGTGCCAAGAGAAAAAGCCAAACTTACGATCAAAGCTTAGAAGAATTCTCGTGAATGGCCTGTTTAGACACCCGTGCTACAAAGCAGTAACACAACGGGAATCTTCCACAAAAGCAATCATTGTGTACAAATGCATGCTAAGGGTTGTGGGGAAGGGGGGGGGGGAGAGAGAGAGAGAGAGAGAGACCTGCTTTTTTCGGCACCAGCTTTTGAAAGATCACCTTTCTCTAGAGCATATCTATCAGGACGCAAACGGGAATCCGAAGCTAACAGTTTCTTTGGCGCTGTGTCAAAGCTGTTTATTTTATGAGCGAAGTGAGTATACTGGAATTTGTCATTTTCTGGAACAGGAGCAACTCGCCACACCTTTAAGAAAAACAATAAAATTAAAATTCAGTTATCTACTCTCAAGACGACAAAGGTGCAGTCAAATTATAAGCCGATTAACTTCAACCATGGAGCAAAAAGAAATTGGAGTAAAAGTTAAGCCAAAGAGTACACATTTCAGAGAGATCATATTCTGGTGATTCAGAATAGAAGCTGCTGAGGTGTACAAACAATATAGAGTTGTACACTCAAACTTACCAACAAAATGGCATTGGAGACGACAGGTAACCAAAAAATAGGCCTTGTTTGGACAATAGTTCATTTTACATTTTCACTCATTTTACCTCTTAAACACAAAACCCAATGGAAAAGAAAACATCATCCAAACAACTTTCTGATTTACATTTTAAATTCCAACTTGAAACACTTTTTGTTAGTGTAATGACCATTTTAGAACTACAAATAGTGACAAATTTGGCAGGATTCCGTCGTTGAATGATTGTTTTTGGAAAAGTTCTTCTTTGCAGTGACTATAATTGACAGTATTTAATTGTTTAGTGATGACTTGTACTTGATATTTCAAAATGTAGTTCAAAATACTTTTTTTCAAAACCAACATCCAAACAGCATTTTTATTTCCCATTTAGTTTTCAATTTGAAACATTTTCCACTTTTAAGTGGCAAAATGAAATGTAAGTTGACGTCCAAACAAGCACTAAATAGCTCCCCGCATGACACATCCCAGAGAATTTTTTTTAAACACAACTAGAGAGTGGATGGAAGAGCAGCAAATTCAAAAGCTACACAATGCTAACAGAGGAAACTAACCTCTTTCAGCTCTGTACCAGTAAGGGGTTCTCCTTCCAGATCACACGGCTGATAACTCATGAACTCGTTCCACTTTCCAGTCATCAATATCTTGGGTTCCTCGGCAGCATTATAAACGTACCCATCCACCTCATACCGACCAGCCCTGCAACCAACAAAAGCAATTTAGCAACATTTAAATGCTAGAGACTATGAAAAACAATGAGGCTAAATACAGAAACACAACACTCAAACACACTACGTACTCTGCATGACATGCAATAACAATGACGCCCAGAGTTTTTTAAGAAAAGGAGAGAAACTAAGAACTGAAAGGAGACAAACTCTTTTTACTGAGACATAAATGGAAACAAATGATGATACCACAGGGATTACTGCAGAGAAATTCTCAGTAAATAGTGAGAACACTTAGCACCAACTCACCCAAACCAACCACATGGTTGAAAATAGAGGACAGCTTTGTCTCCGGTAGTCAGATTTGTCATAACCATCTCCCCAGGTGAATCAACCCAAGTTCGTCCAAATATCAAATTGTTAACTTTCGTCGGAGGGGGTACCAATTCAAAGACCGTACCATCTCTTTTGAGAACAACACGAGTTCTGCACAGAAAAAGTCCAAGTTAAACATTCATTTCTCAGAAAACCTAAGCCACTGAATCAGAATAACCTCCACTTTTGCAAAACAAAAGAAAGGTGCGGAGGGAAGATTTCTTAGTGTGCACAATTAATGATATCTACACTGACAACGAAAATTTTAACAACCTTCCAACAGGATAAACATCCAGTGAGTTCCCCAAAAATTTAGTTTTCAACTTTGATGTCACATCATAGATGAAATGCTCGTTTTCAGCATGCCCTGCACTCATTGGTGGATGATGACTTACCTGTAATGTGAATAGCAAAAGGTTTATAAGATACAATTGCACTGGAAAAAAAAGGAGATAAAGAGGAAAGACAGTCTAATAACAATTTGCAATTTCCAAAATTATATCAATGTGACAATCATCGCAAGTCACCTGTTCTGAAATGAATGTTATCCCATTGTGGTTAACCAACTCATAAGTCTCGCCAAGAATTGGATTAAAGGGCTTCCAAGTGCGCTGATAAGCATAATAGACAGATATCGCCCATGATGCTGCAAAAGCAAAAGAAAATAGAACATAAAACAGTTGCTTCCATATTTGATCTTACAGACTGTGGAGAGAGTAACAAAATCTTCAGATTGATTACTCACTGGTATAGACCAACCGCATGTACGGATCCTCACATTCATCTGCTTTATCTAAAAGTTGTGAATACTCCATCAGCTGCATGAAAACAAATTGGATAGTGACAGTAAACATAGGGTTCCAGCTCTGCAGATCACAAAGTATAGAATTTATTCCCAATAACATGGGAAGGTAAAACAAACCTCTGCCATTTTTTGCAGCATTGTCATTGGCTCAAATATGAGGACGGGAAGAGTCACCATCGAGGTGACATCCATGCCAATATAATTCTGCATCATCTTCCAGTAGCTGTCTCGTTCCTTCAAATATGCAGAGAGTTACTCAGGACAGAAATAAAAAAGCAGCATTTGATGTAACAGCAAGAATGCACACCGGGCACATCATAAAGCAATACTCTTCAAAGACACATTGAGATTTTTCAATAGATCCAACACGGAACAAAAATATTCCTAAGGCTAAAGAAACAGAAAATGAACAGACCATCCTACATGAACAAAAGCAAACTTTGAAAAAACAAATCTCTCAGTTTCTTTAATGAATGTAAAAATACTTTTCAAACATTGTTCAGAAACACAGAAGAGATCTAGTTCAACAATAAATAAAAATAAATTGTGCAGCATTAACACGATTTCCTGAGGTATGAATTGAGAAATTGACAGACCTCTTGTCTCCATCTCCCTTTGTGAGCTTCCTCTTCTGCGTCTTCTTTACCACCCTCTGGATTAATGACTTCCAAGCCCTCATATCCAAGCAAACTGAATGTAGCCGAGGAAAATATTAAGAAAATCACTGCAAGTCTACAAAGCAATACACTTCTCGCACCCAACAACAAAGCTTAAAACGAGACAGGTGAAGCTTCCAGGAAACACACATGAAGAATTCTCAAGCGCGAAGAAAAGGAGAAGTCATTATACAGTCACTAGCATGGCCGCTTATCAGCAAAACTCAATGATCATTAAGCTTTCTTTGCAAAGGGTCAGCCACTAAGGCCTACCCCTTACCAAAATAATAGCAGTACAACAAAATAAATGGCATCAAAATGGACAAGATTATTTCATCGGCTCAAACAAACGGATTCATCCCTTACTAAATTTGAAAGAAAAACAAATAAAAAAAACGAACTTAGAAAAAATGGGGTTACAGCATAAGATGTCGCCTAAAAGTATACAGTTCCATTTCCTGCACTAGAAGCATGTTGACAATTCACAAAATCGATACTGATTAAGCAACATCTATTCCCACAAAAGTTTAGCTCATTTAAAAAGCACTAATATCAGCAACACGAGAACTGGTTTTTGCCTCCCGATTCTGAGGAAATATAATCCAAATTAATACTAATTGAAAAAGGCAAAGCTATAAAGTAGGGGAAGAAAAAGGAGAACTGACCATCATAAAATATCAACACACACTGCCGAGATCTTAAAAACAACCACTAAATCAGATCAGAACAAAGAAAAAACTCAAAATCAAACTACAGAAATCAAATTATAAGCTAAGTAATCTCCATCCGAAGTAGAATTCACAAACAAACATAAATCACGAATGAAATTGTAAATACCCGTTGATAGATCTATGCATGGCGTTTCCGAACATGGACAAACCGGAAGACATGGCGGCAAAGAAGCCACCTTTGTTTTGATTCTTCTTAGGGCTTCCCATTTCTACACGAACCCTAATTGACCCCCCCCTTAAACAAGAAATTCAAATTCGAATCGAAACTAGGTGAACTAAATATCGTGGCGGAGCAGGAAGGATCGGAAAAATAATCTAACACCTGTATCTATATATATATAAACAGAAATGGAATAATAATTAATATAATAATTCGGAATAATTCACTAATTTTGATTAATGATATTTTTTCGATGATAAAAAGAAATAGAGAGGAGACGAACGAAACGAAGAGGACAGAATAATAATTGGCTAAACAGCGATAAATAGTTGGCGGTTTGTAATATGCACTTTCTGGGATTTTTCTTTTTCCCTTTATTTTCCTTACCTGTGTTGGGGTTTTTTGATTTCGTGTGCCCACGCGCGTATATGTTCGAACGCGTCTAGAGTCTCTAGACCAGATCCGAAAAGGTCACTATTTGGGTTTGGGTAGGAATATCACTTCAAATACTCCTCTCATTCAAATTAATAGGTCCATTAAAATACACATAGATATTAACAATATGCTAGTTAATGTACCACTATTATTGGATATTAGCTGCTAGTTAATATGTCAAGTTATGAAATTGAAATTAGATAAATATTCTATAATTTTTAATGTTGACAGTTAGTATATATTACAGATTTATAAATAAAATTAAATTTAATTTGATTGAGTTATGAAATATCCTGATAAAAAGAAAATGTCTTATGTCCATTTTTGTTTTCCATGATAAGATAATTAAATTATATTATGCTTTAGTTAATATCACATTTGGATTAAATGATACGATATCTTTACATGCTACATCACGTAGCCACTCAGGAAATGATTTCTTTTAGCAATAAGACTCATCTGTCTCCAAAGTATATTAAATTATTATAGAACTATATCCATTACAAAGTCTGTGTACAAAAGAGCAACACAATAAATAAAACTAGTTTCAAGCAGTAAGATGTCATCAATTATGGTTAGTGTTTCTAAAAATAGATATTTATTGGAATTTAAGACTACCCATTGTATTCTTGATATTTAATTCGGTCACAAATTTATTTCATAGATTCATTTGAGGGGAAAAAAATGCAACTCTAACAACATATAGATCAAGATCATATAACTCTGAATTTTGAAATAATACCTAACAACTGCTCATGCTTGCAAAAGTGGTAAGGTAGAGAAAATTGTACATTTTTTTTGGTGGGTAGTTGCATGTTATTTTTTTTTTATTATTAAGGTTTAATAATAAATTACATATTTAGAAGATGTGAAAGAAGATAGAAATATACGAGACATATAGAAAAAAAATTTATATTAAACTTTGTTTTGATATTAGAGTCTTCATTTGCATCATTTCAAGTTAAATGTATTTTTTATTACCTTAAATTATTATATTTACGGCAAGTATTTTAACATAAGAAATTTAAATTCACCGTAAAAAAAAAATAATCATAGTTAAAGGGATATGTTATTGCTTAGCATGTATTTGTTCTTCTAGAAACTAATTATTTGAAAAAAATTATTTAAATGTATATTTTTTTGTGAAAATAAAATATTTGCGGAACTTTACAATTAGAAACGCCAAAAGCCACAAAAGAAAAAAGAAAAAGGAGCGCGTGGAGCAGAAGAAAAAGAGGATGCAAGTGGGATGATTGCCGTCAGATTTGACTGATATTTGTCAAAACAACGAAGATTCGAAATTCCAAAATTAAATGGTCATTTCATTTTGACTTGGACAAAATATAGGCAGCCGGCTCGTTGGGCTTCTGGATGGTTTTTACCTCGGAAAAAAATAAATATCTCCTCCGTAAAGCAAGGCAACAATGAACAACTAACAAATTGGCCATCGACATGGATGAACAATGAATTGGTTCCGTGTGGTGTGGATTGTAAGATTTTTGCTTGAAAAAATGTAGAGATGCCACCAATCTAGTTCAAGTATTGAAGATACAAAACAAAGTCAATATTTTAAGATTATTGATTTATTCAGACCTAGAATTATCATCAAAATTTTACTCAAATATTTTCTCGGTCCTTAAAAAAAAAAAATCTCTATTGAGTTTTAAGATTTGTATTGAAAGTAATACAAATTTCGAAATTGAATACGAATTATTTTTTTTAGAACGGAAAGAATAGTAAAAAACAATGCCAATCTAAAAATATTATGAAAATATATATTTTTGTAATAACTCTTAGTTGTAGTATATACGAGTTAGTTAAACTAAAAGAACATGGGCACTAAACACTCTCATTTAACCTTGTCATCATCATCACATGCAATAATTCAGACGAAACAGCTTTTCAATTATCGTCGTCATCGTCCGACCTTCACAAACACCACACTCTATAGATCTGCAGGCTTTTCCCATTAATTTAATCCTAATCCTTCTCTTTCTTTCTTTCTTTTTTTTTTTCCTTAATCAAAGTCCTATTCCTACAGGGACACTAGTGAAAACACCAGTGATATATAATAATATAATTGCTAAAAGTAACTTGTTAATTCTGTAATTCAGAATCTTGGATCCGCTTTTCATCACGTTCCCGGTTCCCCCCACCCACGACCCACCATCCATCTTCTTCTCCCGATCTCAGACTACCCTTTTTTGGGATTTCAATTTTACTCTCTCATCCCCCTTCTATTTTTGGTGGGGTTTTTTTTTTTTCTTTTCCTTTTTGGTTTGTTTAACCATGAAAGAGAGAAAATCGAGCAAGGTTAACAGTAATAATAATCATCTCACCCAAGACAATCACCAGAATGGGCACTTGTCTCCGTTTAAACTCGCTAAGTTGTTCGATGCCGATGCTTCTTGGGACAAGGTTTGTTTTCTACTGTACTTCTTTAGCTTAATTACCCCCCTGACTGAGCTTACTGTTATTGTGATTTGTTGTTTAAAGCTCACTGAGAATTTATTTATTGGTTTTTGTTTTTTTTAGCTTTTGGGGTTTGTTTAATCCTTTTAGCGCTGAATTAGATAAGATGATTCTACGGAAAGTAAAAGGTTTAGATAGGATTAATGTGGATGCCCATGTTTTGTGTGATTTGATTAGATTGGCTGGATAGGATAAGTGGTCAAAGGACTTACTGATTTCATACTATTTGTGATCAAAGGCGTGACTTGTTATTAGTTGATGTTTAGGTGAATTTGAGGAAAAGGAGTTAACTTTTTCTAGTTAGAATGCTCGGAACACTGGACTTTATGATTAATTGGTTACGGCTTGAAGGTGTTGGCCTTTTGAATTTGCAGTTCTTTTGTGGCTGTGGAAGTGAAGATACGAGTTTAGGTAATAAAGATGGGTCAGCTCAGTTAGTATGTTAGACTATAATTTAATTAGAGTTAGTAGTAGGCATTTGCTAACAGTATAAGCTTGTCCTATTGGCGTATAGGTTATCTTTTTTCAGTAAATTTAAAGGTTATTGAGATAATAAGTTTCCGTTTCTCAATGATGAAGTTGGGTTGCTCATCATAACTTCCCTGTCTTAAAGGGCTTTAGAAGACAATCGGATCATTGGACAGACTTTTAAAACAATAAAGGGTTTGCTACTTATGGTAGCTGTAACATTTTCTGCTTCTGTTTTGTTGAAAATTTAAAATTGGTGCTCACTCAGCTTGGTCATGTATGAAGCTAATTTTCTAAGACCATTGGGTTGTGATGATTCTTCAATACAAGATGCTCTTGTTTATTCTTCATGCATATCCCCGTAGGCTCGGAGTTGTTGAATCATGGGGATTTCTTATGTTGTGGGTTATACCATTATGTATCACCTTTCCCTTACATATCACGGACATTACTTTTGTTGTGTGTTATAGGATCAACTAGGTGATGTACTACACTGGATCCGGCAGGTGGTAGGTCTTTTATGCGGACTATTATGGGGTGCCATTCCTTTGGTTGGAGGCATTTGGATAATTCTGTAAGTTATCTTATTTGTCACTACTTTTTTTTATTTATGGTTGAAATCCATTTTGTCAGAATGTTTGTGCATTTGTTGTTGATTGTCAGAATCGTCCATGTTACGAGGGCTGAGTTTGTTGCAATGCTTAAATAGTCGAACTTTCTGGCTTCTGTTCTTTCAATTATCTTGTGGAATGATGATTTGAATTGGGTTGCCAAAATGTTAGCTTCATCCTTATCCCAGGATTTGCTTCTTCCTCTTTGCAATTAGTTGGCAGGGTTCTTTGCTTACTCGGAGAAGAAAAGATTACTGAAAAGTTGTATCTTTTCACGAATTATCGTTTCTACTCCCTATCAATTTCAATTATAACATTTGGATATTAGTTAACTTCTCTGAGAATGATTGAAATCCATTCGAGTCTCTCATGAAATGCATGTTTAAGGATTCTCATTTGAGATTTTTGCTCATTTCTGGATGAAATATCGACAATAATATAATTGAGAAAAGCATCTAGACACACTCTACCATCCTTCTCTGCAATACTGACCTGCTTCGATCACCAGAGCAAAAATCTCGTGTTTCTAACATGGTTTTCCCCCAGGTTCCTTGTGTTATCCTCTGGGGTAATATATGGTTACTATTCAATGATACTAAAGGTCGATGAAGAAGAATATGGTGGGCATGGAGCTCTTCTCCAGGAGGGGCTTTTCGCTTCTTTCACGCTTTTTCTGGTATTCTGCTTCCTTTTCCCATCACATTTTCTATTCTGTTAAGTTTACTGGGATGGCATAACTATTTCATCTATTTACTAACTCTGGTTTTGTGTTTTCAGTTGGCATGGATTCTTGTCTACAGTTTAGCACACTTCTGATCGCCGGCATTTGAGCTGCTGCGACATCTCCTTCCACACTGAGGATATGATCGTTGAGATACTAGTGGCAGATGTACAATTCATTATTTCTGTTGCCCAAAGCGGACAACGAAACTGAAGAACAAGATCATTGATCGCATCGTTGCGATTTTGTCGCATGTATTATTTGATATTTAGGCATGAGATTCACTGACTAGCTTTTAGTCCCGAAAATACTTTTAATGACATTTTTAGTAGGGCATTTTTCTGCACTGCCTTAGTAAAATGTGCTTTGCACCCCCAATAAATATTTCCTTCATTTTTTTTGTTTTTCACTTTCAGGAAGCAGAAATTTTCTATGCATGTCCATTACTTTGCTTGCTAATTACATGTACTTCAAGGTAGAATATGTGTATAAGAAGGTTTTAACCAGGGAGTACTGGCCTTTCCTTTGCAATATCCAATCGTCCCTCTCATGTTCTGCAAGTTCTTCATAAGTTTCAGATGAACGAGTCAGCATTTTTAAGTATAGTGTCAAAACTGGTTGTTTCTTAAATGAACAACTATAACAGGTTCTGGCAAACAACATCAGAAAGAAACCCACTCGCACTGCTACATGTGATAGATGGTGCAATAGGGTTCATTTAATTTCAACTGACTAATATCAATACTTAACAAAAGACTAATCATATTTGGGGAAATATGAAGAAAACTGTCTCCAGTCCTCCGGTAGCCCGACTGCCAACAGAGGATAAAAATTTGATCCTAAACCAATTGTAAAAATCTGTTACAAAATTATAACTTTATACCCTGCTTTGCTGCATATTTAAGCCAATCTTTTGAGTCTACCCCTTGATCGTATCAAGTAAACACGACCATACACCCACTTTCTACCTTCTCTTGAGATGGATTGCTGCACAAATGAACAAATTTGCTTAGTTTCTGCAGAATCAAATCTCTTGTCAACTTACTAACATCATTGAAGATGACATAAACACAGCACATCATTATGCTGTCAATAGACTCAATACCTCACATCGAGTTCGGAATTCTATGAAGCTCTCACATACATGACACTCGGCTTTCTGGCGGGTCAGCTTCGACTGATCAGAACTTACAAATGCAAACACCTGTACATATGTCGAGAACTTACAGCTATAAAATGAACATACATGGGTGAAAAACTGAAAATCCATTGCTATAGCTGATAAAAGAAATAATTCCAGGTGAAATGTATAAAGCATTAGAATATTCCATTGAAACTGACCTCCTCACCACAATTAGGACAGGCCCCTTTTAGCGCTACTACATCATTCTTCATAATCCCTTGCAGTGCTCCAACTGCACAAAGTTATGCACCATCCCATCAATACTTTGCATTTAATATTCATTTGATAGTAGGGTTCAAAGCATGAGAAAGGCAACTTGACTTTGCTAAACCACATGGGAGTAAGTCGAGAATTGTGAAGGGAGTAAACTGTTTTAAACTTATATCATTTCCATCTTTATAAGCTACAGAAACAACTGAAAGGCAATGCAGTATAGACAGCTCAAGTTTTCACAACAATTATATTTCCATCTCGATAATTCGGTATATCTAAATCTGCACAAGGAGGTTATCACGAACAACAGCAAACAAAAAGAAAGACTTAAAGCAAAGCATAAACACCAATGGACTTCTAACCTGATGCTGAAGCAATGGGATATCCAATTACAGACCCCAAAAGCATGTAGAGGAAACCATTGAGTACGGTAAGAAAATGTAGCATGGAAGCTTGACTGGTTGATGTATTTCCAGAGAGAAACGCATCGTTGTATGCATGACCGAGAGAGTAGATCACAGGCACGAGAAAAACTAAACCCCCAAAACCCAGAATCAAAAGCCATACGCTAGCCAATGCAAACACCTGTGAAGGATCTTCCTGCCCTACCTCACGCCAAGATTCAATATTCAATGAATTTCAGTAGGAATTCCCATTTAATTACAAGTTCATACTTTTTTTTTTCCTATTTGATTGATTTATTGGCATTTAGCAGACAATATATAAAAAGGAAAAAGAAATTTATGGAATTACCTCAGCATCAGAATAAGTTGATTGGCGCCGGAGACTACAACGCGGGTACTTGACTACGTACTTGGAACCATAACGCCGTAACCTCAGCTGTTTCAACATACAAAGAACAATTTCTTAAAAACTTTAGACTGCGTTAAATACAATTCCACAAATTGCATTTCGTTTTTCATTATTTGATGTTCCACACCATGTATTCATAGTCATAATTGCGAACTCATCACACTATCTTAGACTTGTAGGTTATTAGCTAAAACCCCCATCCATCTCTCTTTCAATTACTGAATATGGTAAACAGATAGAAAGTAAACTAGTGTTCAACCTGTGTCGTATTAATGACATTTTTACCTCCCACAAGTAATTTCTCATAACACAAAGAATCCAAAAGTAGAAACCAATCAAGCCGACTCCATCATTAATAAGGCCATTGTTCGGGATAAACCATTTTGATGGTTTAGTTTTCAAACAATTATTTAACATGAACTCGAAACAGATTGAATAATTCAAAGAAAAAGGTTTACCTCCACTCTATCAAACATGTCATCCACAATCAAAGGCCTTCCATTATAGTATGAATCCCGAGCCTGGAAAAAGAAAAGACATATTAATTTCTTGGCAGTAATTGCAAGAAATATAATCAAAGAGAAAGTATTACAACTTAACTCATAAATGATGAGCGTCTTCAACTAGAACCAGTAAAATTGAGGAAAAACAAAAACTACGAGTTTTAGCTACACGTTACCTGACGATACAGAGCCTCAAGAGTTTCTTTGCTAGCACTCTCTATGGGACCCACGAATATGCACGAAGGGCCCTCGACTGGCGGCAGCGGCCGGAAGTCCTCGACGGAGCTCCGAAGGGAAGAGTAGCGCACGACGGAACACCGAGCTCCAGCTCGAGATAATGAACTCCGGGAATTCTCAACAGGGGAATACGACGTCGTCTTTGATGATGAAATAAAGTGAGGCTTGACCGGTGAGCACGTGCCGGCCATGAAATTTTATCAGAAGCCGACGATGATGACGTCAATCGGTGAACGGACCATATGAATTATGAATACGATTGGGGGAGAAAGGGAGGAAATGTGCTATTTATAGAAAGGAAGGAGAGATGACGGATATGCCCTTTTGAGATTGTGGTGGCTTCAAGCCTTTAATAGAAATATCTTTGATTTTTTTGATTGGTTGCAGAAAATTCAAAAGGAATTTTGTGTGATTGGGCCATTCGGCTGGTTGCCTCTTTTGCTCTTGTTTACAAACAAATCCAAAGGTCTTTTTAAATGTAAATCGATTGAGGTAAATTATACTTATTATAAATTTTTTAATGAGATTTACTCCCTCCGTCCCGGAACTATTGTTCAATTTTGATTTACATTTTTAGTACAAATTATACTATAAATAGAAATCCAAAATTGAAAATAATTTTGGGACATAAAAAGTATTATCGTTTGTGATACACTTAAATACATAACTAGATGCTTGCCCGGGTAAAAATCCAGGGGCAACACACTCAATAAATTGTTATGTAATTAAAACATATTCATATTATAACATATTTAGCTATTTAGGTGGAATGCCTAGGGACCGCCTATATTTTAAGTCGGTCAAATGAAAGAACACAAATTATTGAAAAAAAGAATCATAATACCTTTTATTACAGTATATATGTATAATAATGTACAATAGTTGCTAAATTTTGTCTTGGACAAATAAAAATACTAAGAATATCAAGAATGGTTCCTAAATTATAAAACCAAAGGAAAATAAATAACTAATATTCAAATGACTTGGGCAAAACCCTTAGAATTGGCTCAACGTGAACCTTCCAAGCTCGCTTAATCCAAATCAAACTGGAATTGTGGAATTGCATATCAAAACTCCACAATTTCTCAGAAAACTGTAGAAGAAAGGAAAAGAGGAAATGTAAAAGAAGTTCACATCATCAGCAATAACAGAACATAGAAGAAATTTCAGGTTGTAAATTACATACTGAATGATGATTCAATTAGTTTCACTCATAATATATCATTTGAAAGATTTGTTGAAAAGAAGCTTGAATTTTTGTTCATAGACAACAACCATTCCACGTGAACTACTTCACCATGTATCATCAACACAGAACCAGAACATTCAGGTTAAACAGAAACCCCAAGAAAATTCAAAGTGGTTGAGTCGTAAAATCATTTACCCATGAAAATTTCAGAGTGCATGAGAGCCATTAGAACTGACATGTTCATATTGTTTCGCTACAATCACAACCACTAAATTCATACTCTCTTAGCTAATATGCTCCAAGGTTAAATTTAACCTGCTCCAAAATACAGGTAATAATGAATACTGAAGAATATTCATTTTATCTGATTCCTCTTTACGTAGGAGAACTCAATCATCACAAAATACAATGTTTAAAGAATAACATACTATTCGATTGTTAACCATTTGAATTAAAATGCATTTGCTGATTTACAATGCTAAGATAAACAGACAGAAGTCCATTAGGAATTTCAGTTTTATTTCGAAGATCAATAGACTTGCTAAACATCAACAAAAGTTACAAAATATTGGCTAACTCAATCAAACAAATGATGAAAATAAAAATCAGTCATGAATCTGTAACAGATAATCAGAACATGAATTAATGATTTTAGCTTATTGTCCTCCATAGCAATCCTTTTAACAATCTCAATTCGAATGTTTCAATCTAACAATAGCAAAATGCTCTAAGCACCCTAAGTAAAAAAGATGAAACATTAGAGTTGATTGCAAGATGAAAAAGAAGAGTGGAGGAGATAGGTGTACCTGAGTTTAGCTAGCATTCATTTTTGGCAGAAATTGCATTCTTTTGAAAACTAACAGACTTCATGTTGCATTCAATGCCTCTGTGACTTGAACATTGAACTGTTGCATTCACTGAATTTGATCACTTACAAAAATGCAAGGGCTTGCATAATGACATCTGAAATCTTCCCATTAAATTTATTTTCCAGCAGAGACCTATGAAAGCAACAACAAAAACAGTAAAACCAATGCCAGCTGCTATGACTTGTGAGGAAAGCAATATTTTGAATATATTATACATCTCTGGAATAAGATATAATGAACATCTAGAGAAAATAATCACCTCCAAGACAAATAAATAGTAGGAATGTATTCAGAGAAGCAACCTGTATGATTTCAAATTAAAGCAGTAGTGTAAACAAAGGAATGTGGGATGAATGTTTATTTGAGGGATCTGTATAGGCTTTTTTTTAGGAACGAGAACGACGGATTTTGGGGGTTTTATTTGGCTTTTTGTTGAAAATTAGCATTTGAGGTTTTTTCTGAATAGTTAGAGTGTCACGTGTCAAAAATAGTTTTGTACAGAAAAAACCTTTTAGCAGGAAAATATTTAATGTGGAGCTGACACATTTTCTTCTTGTATGCTACTTTAATTAAGTACAATAAATAAGAAGTAATGTATATTTACCTTACTTTAACAAAATTTATGAAATTTATAAGATTTTTTTTCATATGTAAAAAGAAATTTTGCTCTCCCTAATTCTGTCCCTAGTTATGACACAAAAAATGGCATGTGGTTATTTGCAAAATTTTATGTCATTTGAAGTTTGAACAAGTGAAGACTGCACTTCTAATGCCTCTCCAAAAAAGACCAAAAAGGCAAAAAAGAATCAAAGCAGGGCAAAAATGGAAAGGTATGAACGTAATGACTGCGTTTGCCGGGAGTCGAACCCGGGTCTATTGCTTGGAAGGCAATTATCCTAACCGTTGGACTACAAACGCAATATGAAACAAATTGAACATAAAAACATACTGGTACGCTAAGAGGCTAACCTAAGGTTTATGGATGAATTATGAATCAGTTTACACTAATACTACATAAAGAATCAGCAAAATATTCAGGCTACAAAATCCAGGAGTGTTCAAACCAGAAATTCAATCTATAACTAACAAAACATTGGAACAAATCCGATGACATAAAACATCCTTTGTTTCTCTTGTACCTAGTCTAGCTGTCGCTTGGGTAAGGCATGAGGAATATTATACTTTTGCGGCTAATGAGGTTCGAACTTTTAAATCTCGTATATATGCAGGTAAAACATTACTTGTCGTGTCATTTCTCGATCTCTTTGAAATGTCTGAACTCTGAACTAGCCATGTATTTCCCACATCCCACCCACATACATATGAAAAGTCATGTTTCTAGCTTGAATGTAAGTTAGTAGTTAGCTTTATCTGTTCTCAGAAAGTAGTGATCCCATTCATGCTTCCCAACCATCCCAAATGTATAGTACTTCCAACTCGCTTCCTCCTCGAAACTGTATCTGGGATCCTTCTCTTTCCTCAGTGATTGCACTCTTTCAATCACCCCTTTCGTTGTTAAATCAAATGCATCCTGATGTTTCTTCATCCTTGATCTCGGATCAGCATAAACAACATGTGGAATCATCCTAATCACCGCTTCCCTCATCGCATACACCCGCGATTTTGGAATCCTGGAAAGCACATTCTCAATGCTGACAGCCTTATTTTTCACGTCCTCTTCAGGTATCAACACCGAATACTTCTTGTAATCTTTAGGCAAATGCCATAGGTATTGCACGTAAGCAGAAGCCGGGGTGAAAAACACCGGTATGCAGCCCGCTAAGATGGCGTCAAATGTGGACCTCCGAGTGAATGAATCTCCAGGAGGCTGTAAACAAAAGATGGAATTTTGAAACATTTTCATGATCTGTTCAGGCTTCTGGCATTTGTTCTTGCTGTTCGTGGGGCATTCCATCAACGCGCATTTCCGCTTCGCGGATTTGCATTGGTCGATGATCTGCGCCCGGATTGAGTCCGGCATGTCCGGCCTCGGTCCTCCAGCGAAGCAAAACAGTGTTTTCCTTCTCTGTTTCTTCATCCTGTTTTGCCAATTTACAACATCATTATCATTCCAGGGATGGAAATACGTCGGGTAAGGGATGGCGAAATCGTTCCTGTTCCAGGGGCTGGATTCAATCGTCAATATGGTCATGTTCTTCATTTCAGGCAGCAGCATTAACTTGTTTCCCCAAGCATAATCCTCATCAACTCCCCTCCTGAAATCCCAGGTTATTCTTCCAGCAACCATAAAATGATCTCTTCCCGACATCCTTTTCCACTCTGGTTTTCCCCTGAGCCATTCCGCCAAATCCAGGGAATCAGCATCCCTGATCGTCGAGTTAGAACCCCATAAGTACCTGGAAACGTCGAGGCCGGCGTAATACGGGACGAAAACGGCCGCAGCTTTGGATGAATTATTGGTTAAACAACCATACTGCTTCATCCTGTTATGAAAAATCACTTCCAGGGAGAATTGGTTGGTGTTGAACCAACAGGTCTTGGAGAAAACCCGGCCCGAATTCCCAAAATCAGTTCCAAGCCCATTGTTGGAAAGGTATTGACACATATCCGCCCATTTATTCAGTAATCTGCACTGTTTCAACAAGTCCTGATTGAACCGACTGGGCAACTCATGAACATAGATATACCTTCCATTGCAGGTTGACTTTTCTCCTTCGCTTTCATCATCAGGCTCGAATTCCTTCTCAAGATCGCCAATTTCCTGCATCACATCCTGCTCTTCATCATCTTCGATTACCTCTTCTTTTTCGGTTTCATTATCACCGGAGAAATTGGCTGAAGTTTCTTCGATGGAAAAAATGGTGGCATTGGCAACCCTTTCTTGTTCTTCCGGATCAATATTGTAATTAGATAGTTGTTCTTCCTGAGCTGGAATGACGGACTGAATATTGGGTTTTTCTTGAAGGGCATGATTGACGGAGGATGGTAATGAGGATGTTAACCCGGAAATGGAAGACCAATCGAAACCGTAAAGAATCAAGTACCAGAAGACGAACAAGGCGAAGAAAACGAACCAGAATTTGTTGCGAAACCTTGAAGTAATGGTGGATGAATTATCCATATTTGGGTCTTCTTGTTCTTCTGGTTAATTTTGGCGTTAGAAAATTCTTTCTGGTAGTGATGAAAAATCCGTTTCCTATGGCTATGGAACATCGAAATCTTTTATCGAGTTGTTGAAGAAAAGAAGGCAGAGATGTTGACTCATAACCAAGGGATACAAATCTTGTTTCTTTAAAAATTTGATGGGGTCTTCATAACCAAGGGATTTGTCAACTGATGATGATTTTGTGAATTTGTGCTCCTAATTTATTCAAACTTGGCGATTTTTTCTCTCCTATTATTATTTGTTTTTCTTTCTTTTTTTTTTTTTGGGGGTAAATTTTGATATTAAACTGTCCTTCAACTTTTGTCATTTCATTTGATTTCTTCCCTGACCCTTAAGAACAGTAAATCTAACGGCATTCATTCATTAGTCCATTTGTATCGACTATTTAGACACCAATTCATCCAAAATCTTTGGGTTCGGTGTAGTTTTATACGTTCTTAACAACATTTTAAACAACGACCCCGTTGTTATAGTTTTGTAGTAACCAATAGATAGTTGGAATGCAAAATTAACAATGTGATTGGAGTGATTAGTGCAGTACATAACAACAAAACTATGTTACGATTTTTTATTTTTTATTTTTTTTAAAAAAAAAGAGTCAGTGAATGGTTAAGTAAAGGGAATCTTTTCATGAACACGAAGTCAAATGGATATATATGAATATATGATGGAGTATCAACCTTGGACACACGATGTGACAATAAGTTTGATGCCACGTATTGTCTACTGGCTGGCTTTTCAATTTATTGGAAATTTAACAGATAGACAACAATTTTACTTTATTTTTTACATATAACAAATTATCAATATGTCAGCGGTCGACAGTACACTATTTTTTTTTATTTATAAATTTCCATCTCTCTTTTTTTTTTTTTTATGTTATCCCTTGCTTCTAACATTATTTTTAGTTGATAGTAAACGTTTAGACCACTAATCATTTTGTTGATTGAAGTAATTGAAAAACCACGCTCAACCAATTTCTAGTGATATATTCCCTCCGTCCCAAAATTATTGTCCAGTTTGGAATTTCTTTTTTAGTGCAATTTAAATTAAAAATAAAAACTCAAATTGGACAATAATTTTGGGACGGAGGGAGTATTTGTAATGACAATTTCCTTCAATCAGTTTTATCTCTTTCGGGTGTGTCATCTTAACAGCATCAACAAGTCAACCTTCATGAATTTAAATAAGGTTTGAAGTTACTCTGTAAGCCCCCAAAAGAAAAGAAAAGAAAAAAAATCACTCACACTGTCATACACTAAATATAGATGTTAATATTCTCTGCCACAATTTAATTTTGTCAGCTCGATGTATGTCACGTATTAACAGCAACTTTAAAAGTTGTTAACACCATTTCTATCTCATGGCCTCCAATTAGTCTTCATCACACACAACGAATTTTATTTTTTTTAGGAAAAAAAAAGAAAAAATCAGGAAAAAAAAATCGCCTGAACAAACAAGACAAAACAAAACAAACCAAACCCACAAAAAATAAAATAACCAAAATTAAGAAAATGGAAACGTTGGTTGATTATTATTTGTTGGGGTAATTAATAATCGAAAAATCGTTTTTCCTTCCCATTTCTTGGTGGTGGTGGCCCACCGGCTGAGGCGCTGCAGAAGTTAAAAATGGGGAGGAAGAATAAGTCGTCGTCGGAAAATTCGCCGGAGTCAGACATCGAGATCAAGGTCCAACCTCGTGGGACCGACCCACATCCGGTGGGGGGCCCGTTTAACACCCCACAACAAAGACCACCATCCCAGTTTTACAGCCCGCCGCCGAGATCGTCGCCCCCGCCTTCTTCCGGCCGGCTCTTCAAGAACTGGGTCCCTTGGTCGGTTCCCATCATCGTGGCCGTCAATATCGGACTGTTTGTCTGGGCAATGCACGAGAACGATTGCCCCCAGAATTCCGACAACTGCATCGGCGCCTCCTTTCTCGGCCGATATGCTTTTCAGAGCACCAAGGAGAACCCATTGCTCGGCCCCTCCGCGGTTACGTGAGTCTCAGTGTGTGCTTTTTTTTTTTCTTTTTCTTTTTTTGTTACAAATTTACAATCAAATGTGTGTGTGCGTGTTTTTCTTTCTTCTTGCATTTGCATGCATGCAAAAAATATTATGCATTCTTTTTTCTTTTTTTTGCTGCATGAGAAACAGTTAATTTGATCCATAACATTTTCATGGGCCAAATCTAGCCGTCCTTGTTTTACTTTACACATTTTCAAGGGTGAAAACTTGTGACATAATGGAAAATTACTTATTTATAACATGCAAGATTTTTTTCAAGTTATGTATATCACACTCAACCTAAAAAGTTCTTTTTGCTTTGTGTTGTAGTAGTAGTTAATTAGGTGGAACTTAATGTGACATTTCCTCACTGTATAAAAATATTATGTCGTTGTGTTCTTGGGGTTTTAGGCTGCTGAAGATGGGAGCTCTGGAAGCAAAGAGAGTGGTGGAGGAACACCAAGTATGGAGGTTGGCCTCCTGCATGTGGCTACACGCCGGCGTGTTCCACGTTCTAGCCAACATGTTGAGTCTCCTCTTCGTCGGCATTCGGCTCGAACAGGAGTTTGGCTTCGGTAAGAACAGAAATTCCATAAGGAGTGACTCACGTAATATCGACTCACATCATGACATCTGAATATCTGATTATCATATAAAAGTTTGTTATGAAATAATTATTAGTCTACTATCATCATGAATAAAACATATCTTCATATTTCAAACTAATTAATGTTCCTAAGAAAAATTTGAATTTGTACAGTGCGGATAGGGGTGGTTTACGTAGTATCTGGAATTGGGGGAAGTTTATTATCATCACTGTTTGTGAGGAATACCATATCAGTGGGTGCATCTGGGGCATTATTTGGTTTGCTTGGTGCCATGCTTTCTGAACTCCTCATCAATTGGACCATTTATGAAAATAAGGTACTCTTCTTACGTACATATATAGTCACATACTGCACATTGTAATTCATTTATTTTCTTTTCACACTACAACAAAAATGGGCTATTAATACCTTTATAGTGGGATACTTTTTCTAAAATATGTCTCATTATATGTGTATTAGTACATTTGCTAAAAAATGTCTTATTAAAATGAAAAAGCGTATGCATATTATAAAACACTATCATAAGCGTACTATGTGGGTTTGCTTGTGAACTATTACCCTATTTAATGGGTCACTTTAAAGTATCTTAATAAGTGACAATCTAATAATACACTTTCAAATGTTTTATGACTTATTGTAACTCGATTATAGAAAACACTATTTAGTAGTGTCCCACGCAATGTGAATCACATGTGTCCTATTATACCACTTATTGAGACACAAAAAAGTGTCTAAACTACTCATTTTTGTTGTAATGTCATTTTCCAAAATCTCCTTTAACTTATTGTAAATTAATTGTTCTCTAAATTTAGTTTCTTTCTTTTCTTTTTTCTTTTTTGTTGGGGTTGGGGTTGTGTGTATAGTTGGCAGCCTTGTCGACACTGTTGTTCATCATCATGATCAATTTAGCGGTTGGAATACTGCCTCATGTGGATAATTTTGCACATTTGGGAGGATTCGTGACAGGTTTTTTACTAGGGTTTGTGGCACTAATTAGACCACAATTTAAATATGTAAACCAAAAGAATGCACCACCCGGGTTCTTCGTTGGACCACCAAAGTCTAAGTACAAGGCTTACCAGTATGCATTCTTGTTCATCTCTCTTATCGTATTAGCAGCCGGGTACGTAAATACATGCATGTTCTTTAGTAGTAGTATCTTTTTTCCTTTTTTCTTTTGGATTTTATCGCTGATTTGTTAATTAAGTTCTACAATTTACTTATTTTTTGTAAAAATGGCGGCAGATTTACAGTGGGGTTGATTGTGCTGATGAGAGGAGTAGACGGGAATGATCATTGTTCATGGTGTCATTACTTGAGCTGCATTCCTACCCCTTTATGGACCTGTGAAGCTCGATGCACGGTATCTATATATTCATACTACTTTCTCTTTTACGTTTTTTTTTCTAAAATCATCATATTGTATTATGTTGTGTCTTATACTACCTCCGTCCCAAAAAAAATAGTATAAAACTCAAAACTCAATGTGGACTATTTTTGTGGGACGGAGAGAGTAATTAGAATCGTACTTATAAACTATTTAAATTATTTTTACGTGTTATTTGTCCATTGACCTCATCTTTTGGTGATTAATACAGTCCAGCCGAATCGAGAACCAGGTGAATCTCACGTGTTTGGCAAATCACAAGAGCGGTTTTTATATATTGCGAAACGGAAATAGCACTCCCGAGATTCAGAGGCTTTGTACTGCGCTTTGCAGCTAGCTCACCCCACCATGAATTAACCCATTCATAAATATTCGAAATATGCGAATTAATTAACATTTTTTTCTCAATGCAAATGGAGCAATTTGAAGAACTGATTGTTACGATGTTGTATCTTTTATTCTTCTTCTTTCTTTCTTTTTTTCTCAATATAAACTTTATGGGTTAAATTAGAAAAAATTAAGGCATCCTTGATTGATATAATTATTTTTTTTCAACTTCTGACTCATATATATACATATATATATATATACTTTTGTAGTAATTATACATATATATATATATATAATAATTACTACAAAAGTATTTAATTGCAATATTGATACATAGATGATAGACCGTATGAGTAAATCAACACTTGCCAGTTTGCGATTGTTTGCAAATATTATTAAATCTCAATGACTCCAAAAAATACAATAATCATGTTGGGTGAGTATCTCATTCACTATATTGAACCCAAAAATGAAAAAAAAAAAAAAAACTTGATATAATTCAACTGGGGTGTTATAGAATGTGAATTTTATTTTTATTTTGTTATTGGGTTCATATCAAAAACACCTACGAGGTTTAATTGATTATCAAAAACAACCGCACTATTTAAACAAATATCAAAAGTATCGCTTCACTTTCAAGTCAATTAACTAAAAGAGTCCCCCAGCGAGTAAAAATTGATATATGTATATAAAATAGCACAAAGAAAAGTAACAAAACGATGTTTTCACTTAAGAGTACAAACATTTTCCCCCCAAACTTTAATAAAACCATATATCCATTTTTAAATCCAAAATTTACCTTTCACAAACTCCTAAAAGCTGAATTTTGGATTTAAAAGTGATCATATATGATTTTATAAGAGTTGCAAAAGTTTTCTCTTCTTTACGAACTGTAATGTTTGTAATTAGATTCGATCCCTTCGCTTAACATATTTTCATAGCGTAGTTAAATAAAATTTAAATCAGTACAACTTGGCTACTGTTAGTATGTCTACGATTATTTTGACAAACTCCATTTCAAAGTGCCTTCCGTGAGTTCTCGCTGGTTGTGTTATACTTTTGCTTTTGTTCTCTCTCCCTCTTTCCATTCTTCCCCACAGATTTTAGTCTTCTTTTTTGAGGGCAAGATTTTAATCTTTCAAAGTGAACTAAAATTTACAAATGAAAAGTTTTAAAGCCAATATAAAACAAGGCCGAAGAAAATTTGCTACTACTACGACTGCCAATGTTTGGTGTTTTACCTAGTGCCTGGTGGCTGGGCTTTAGGAACAGTAGGCCTTGAGCCCAAAGGATGGCGTATTGATTGAGGCCTTTACATCTAGCACAAAACAAATCCACCCTACACGATGATTTCCATAAAAATGGGGAAGGGTAAAGATGAAGAAATTATGAAGTAGGTCATTAGTATTTCTTTGATGATTTGTGTCACCACGTTTCCGATGATGCCATTTTAATTAATGTAAGGAAATAGTACTCCCTCCATCCCATAATTATTATCCAATTTGAGTTTTCAATTTTAGTTCAAATTGCATTAAAAGTAAAATCTCAAACTGGACAATAATTTTGGAATCGAGAGAGTATTTCCCTAATCTCACACATGTTATTTGTATTAAAATTGAATCTTCTAATAAAGTGAATTATTACTAAGTTCAGATCATTCATCTCACTTTTCCTTCTTATACATTATCATTTAAAAAAATAATTGTGTATGACTAAGAAGTACTTAGTCCAAGAGATAAAAGTATTGGACCAGTTTAACTATGACCCTATTACGAACGCGGGCAAAGGCATGTAGCAATGATTAAAATACTTGTTGGGAGAGTTTTGCCTCCCAAAAAGTACTTACTCGGCTCGAATCCGAATTAGTCGGAACAATGACTTCGGACACTGGATGCGTATGAAAAAAAAAAAGAATTTTGTATATTGAACTATTTTTGGATAACTAACTTTTAATTTTTGGACAGAACGAGTTATTGCAAAAAAAAAAATAAATAAATAAAAATCAATATCATCAGTTAGATTGGTAGTAGTTGCAGTTGGTGCGTGCTTTACTATATTTTTTAGTTAGGCTCTTGAGAATGAGCAAGAAGAGAGATCTTCTTTGGAACAGGAAAATTTGGTCACGATATACATCTTTCCTCAGTGATGATGGCATGTGTAGTTAGTACTTTGTAGTTCTGTAGGAGTACTATGTATGTGGCAAATGTCAATGTTTAAAAAATATGTGTGTTTAGGTCCTTTAGGAGATTGCTTTTCGGGTCTTGACGAAAAGGTAACGCGCAAAAGAGTGCTTCTTTAATTAGGGCTTTCTTTCGGAAATCACTTTGAACAAAATAGTACTCTCACTACAGATTTCTTTTATGCTTTGAAGATTGCTCGAGGATGAAGAAGACCTACTTTTTCTTCTTTCCCCCTCTTATTCTTTATCTTGAAATGCAAGTACGCAAACTTTCGTTAAGGACATCGAGAGCTAAAAAAATCAAAGTAATTCATTACAAACGCTTTGCTCTTTAACAACCATAAATTGCTTTGTTATATACTCCATCCGTCCCAAAATTATTATTCAGTTTGAGATTTCATTTTTAGTATAATTTGAACTAAAAATGAAAATTTAAACCGAACAATAATTATAAGACGGAGGAGGGAATATTAAAATCATTAATGTTTTAGTCGGATTTCCTTCCTCCTCGTTTAAGGGCTATTGTCCCTGACCATATTTTTGTCTCAAGTGGATGAAACCTTTTTTTTTGCGCTTTTGATTTGATTTTATATAGAAAATTCAGAGGTCAAAAAGAAAGTGAGATGGTCAGAATTAGAAGTCAGTGGGTGAGAGAGAGTGGTTCAGAATTTTCAGAAATATGTAACCGAAAATGGTGACATATATATGTCGAGCTAGCTAGTAATGATCCATCAATTCAGTCAACCAACAAACACTTCTTCTTCATCACCAGGCAACTTATGTTCATTTCTCACTTCTCAGAGTTTCTATTTGCCTTTTGGTTTAGGTCACACCTTCATATATTTTTAACCCATCCCAGATTTCCGAATACTAGACGTTTAACCATGCATAAACCGTAAGGTGTTCCTCATAGTGTAAGCACGTCAAATCATCCAGATATTCATAATTGTTTCAAATAAATTATAATATTCCCTCTACCCAAAATACTTATCCAGTTTAAATTTTTATTTATTTTGAGATATTTATGTGGATAGACAAATGGTTTCCTGCTATACATTTTATTTCTAAGGAAAGAAAAAAACCATTGGGAATTATATTATTTTTAAAATGAATTTACAATGTTAGAAAGTCTAAGACTTTTTCTTTGATGGGAAATTAATTCCATTTTTGTAACAGAAAATCAATTTTCCTTCAGGAGGAAAGGAGGGAAAAGATTACAATACGAACATTGCACGCATAGGATTCCATTTCTTGACGAGCAATTGGGCAATTAGAAATAGGAAGTGAAAGGGATGGCTGGTGATAAGGAGAATCGAAAACTAAAATGAAATCATGTAGTATTAATTAAATACAAACCTTAGGGAATAAATTAATAATTGAATTAATACAAACCTTAGGGAATAAATTAATACTTGGAAAACGATTGGGAAAAAAAACAAAGACAAAACGAACATTTTGATGTTATTAGACGATACAGATGACATGGTTTATTTCATTAAGAAGAATGAATGGTGCATTTTGTAGTATGGGCAAACCTCTCGGCTAAATATCTTGACCAATGACATACAATAAAACCTCCCTAAATTAATATTATATATAATTTCCATTAAATAATATTTTTTCCGGGTCCCAACTTAGGACCAGTACAAAAAAAATACAAAAATTCGATTAATTTATAAAATAATAATTTTTTTCAAATCTCTTATTGAAATATAGGTCTCCACAATTTCATAAATTAATAAATACCTAAAATAATAAATTAAATTTGAAACAATTTAGATTTTAACTTAAGTATTTTTGTTTAGGTTTGTAATTATCATTTTTTTTCCATTAAAAAAATTATAATGTGATGGCTAGGGCTGCAACGAACTTTTCTTGATATCAAAATAATAAATTTTTATATTTTCTTACTTATAGAACTGATAAAAACTCTCTAAATTACTAAAATAATAATTTATTGATAAATTAATAAGTAATAATTCATCAATAAAATAATAAATAGATTAAAAAAATGGAAGTCCAAGTGTACTAATCTACAGAGGTTTTACTGTATTTTGAGTTATTTCTGTTTCAAATTAATTGTGTTAGTTATTATTCTAACACGATAAAAGGTGGCTAGCTACTTTGATGGGATAATAGTGTACACAAAATTTGATGGTTTTTGGAATCGAAGTTAGATGTAACTCATCACATGGAGGGTGAAAGATGGCTAGTGTGATGGATAATGATGGAATTGATGTAAGACAAAAAAGAGAATATTTTCCCTTTAATTGTTTCTGTCTTCATTTGGGATTTATTTAATAATTTTGGCTATATTTAGTCTTTTATCCGTTGAGAAATAATTTCTGGGAAGGAAATTTTTTTGACAATTTGGATGAAAAATTAAAATATGAGCCGAGACTGGGGATGATGTGAGTAGCTACAATTTTTTAGGATATTTAATTTGAATGAAGAAACAATACGAGTGCTTCACAATATTGTGGGTTAAAATATTTATAGGAAAGGGTCGCTGATATGGATCCCCCAATGTAGCAATGATGAGGTAAGCAGTGCACACTTGTGAGATCATGGAAGGACGGAAAAGATGTATTCTATAGTAATTTTTAATTGGAATATTAATGTTACTATCAATTTCTCTCAATTTGCAATCACTCGCACCCATGTGTTTGAGACTTCGGTTGGTTGGGACTTGGGATAAGGATCATAAATGGCAGAAATGGATCTGCAGTATATATCCAAATACATTATTGAATCTCCTAGTGTACATATTAGTTTTGATATGATAGAACTAACGAATGATCAGTCAATTAGGTTCGTTATACTTCTCCTGTCCTTATTATAACGAATTTTGATTTTGAACTAAGATATCTTTTTAATTAGAAAAAATTTAAAAATATATTTTCATATACATTGTGTTCTTCTAATTATTATAAAAAATTTTAAAGATTTTTATTTCAATTTGAAAGACATCCTCTTATAATAAGGACCGGAGGAGTATCAAGGAAGGGT